GGCACTAATGTCCTTTGGCAAGACATTGATCTACATTTGCCACTCTCCACCCAGGTGTTAAATGGGTACCCGGTAGGATGCGAAAGCTAATGTGGTTAGATTAGCAAGTGTGCGCTCGTAAAAAAGACGCCTGGCTGGAATGCTCCCCAGGGAGTGGAGAATGTGCATACATTGTGTGCGGGTAAGCCTGAATCCTATGACCGGGGTAATAATATATATATCTGTAAAGCGCTTTGAGAGGGCCTTCGGTCTTGAAAAACGCTATATAAGAACTAGCTATTATTATTATTATTATTAGACATACTATTTATACCGGTACACTTACTAATCTGATCTGAATTGATGTGTGTATAGTGTATACCACACTGTACAGTGTTGTTATCAAAATCCTTGTTTTGTAGTGTACAATAATGGAGGACCAAAAATACAGGTCAGCAAACTGATGTTTGTCTGTGTTGATAAGGATCTAGTGACATCAGCAATTACCATAATCATTTAAGAATAGACCTGTTTACTAAAATATTAATGGATGTTTCTTTCCTGGGGACCTAGCGACGAGATATTATATTAACCCGTTGTTAATGAATGAACTGCAATACTTGGAATTAAAAGAGTACCTGTAATGTTATGAAATCGTAAAGTGTATGTACAACTTATTGCAAATATGGGAAAAGAAATTAAAATAGATGGTCACATAAATGACAAAACTGTCTGTCATTGATATTACATATAAAACTACATGTACCTGCACAAATACAGTTTGTAATTAAGGTTTATTTGACAGAGACATTAAATATTGTACATGTCATGCCCAACTGACACTCATGCGATCCGATTTTCAATGAAAGAGTAATCGCACTAGATACGTCAATACGTTTCTTTAGAAGCCAATTCAGCTTTTTCTTCTCCAAACAATTTTAAAATCCCTTGACATTTAGATTTTATTAACCATATGATTATTCAGATAATCGATCATTAAGATTTTAAAAGATGAAATGTTCATATTAAATGCTCATGTAAATTTTTCCAAAATGGAATCGTAGTTTAATCATATCATGTGCCTTGGGCTCACTAAACATTGTGAGCACTTTCACCACATTCTCAGATTCATATTCACCACACAAGCATTTCAATGTGTGTATGTGTGTATGATAAGGTTTGATTATTGTAAGTGTATCAATCAGATTTGATTACTTTCGTCCAACGATCGAGCTTATGTCATGAACAACCTTGTAATACAGTACAAAGTCTACCAGTAAGTACCTATGTATGTACATACATTGTACATGTTCATGTATAGTGTAATGCACTACAGTAGAAGTTCACATGCTATTCTTCTTTGTGTCATTTGTAGATCTCAATCTATATGTTGATGATTCCTTGATGACAACATGAAATTAGAACACAGATTGTGTGATTATTTGCTACAAAGTAGTAAAGCATACACCTTGAGTGAATTCAAACATGCTTTGGCATTTCACATGCCTGTCCCACAGGGGGCTGTGCAAGGCTTGCTCTCTTCTAATTTCCTCTTTACCTCGGCATCAGAAGGCCTGTCTTCATCAGCTCGAGTTTGTCAAATAACTGCAATTTTATCTATCCCGATCGCAAATTAACCAGTTAATTTGCGTCTCCATCAGACCGCAGTTGCAATTAGCGGGATATTTGGTCAAAAATATCCTGAGAAATATTGGTCTTGTTACCATAATATTCCGCTATTTTAAATAGCGGGCTAATTTGCGCCCGTCCAAGCTACAGGTTGTTTGTGATGAGCATAACGGTCTGGTGAGGATGCAATTTCAAACTTCAGAATTATATCCCGAGTCTGAAAATAGCGGGTTATTTGGCAAACTCGAGCTGATGAAAACGGGCCTTCCAATGAACTTGCAAAGTCCTGTATCCCTGAGGGGGGTAACTCACACTGACAAGAGCAGGATACTGTTAAGACAATTCATCTTCCTAACACGTTACAAAGGGGGACAGGAAACAATGACAATGTACTCAATGTGTAAATGTAGATTATAAGTTCTTTGGAATACATCTTGAGCAGAAAGCACTCAAGTGGTGGACAGAACTGCAGGAAAACTCAAGCAATTCAGGAAGTATTAATTGCATAAGATAAGATGTAATAAAAGACTGTTAATGTACCGTAGGATTACATTATCCATAGTAAAATCTTTAGGGAAAAAGACATCTCGAGTCAACATACAAGAGCAATCTAGTATATCATTCTTAATAAACCAAATAGAAAGCAAGTATGATTAAGGTAATATCATAGAAATCAAAGAGAAGACTTGTCAAAGTCTATGAACCCATAAAATAGAGAGGGAAAAATTGTTCATAATACCCATGTTAAAAATCCCCACTTCATGAAAAAGCAAGAGAAATTTAAATGCTCATGGAATACCCTATTTTTTGAATAAATCATATCCCCATGAAATAGCAAGCGAAATATATCTTTCGGAATACCCATTTTTTAATGATTTTATTAGGAATTATTGATTTTGAAAGACCTTCAATATCAGCTCATATATTCTACATGACTGTACACTATGTGTGTACACTCTGTATAAGAAATCATAACGTCATAATCTAATATTAAACACTACTAGGTATGGCCTATTGGAGACATATAAATTTAGACCGACACACGTACAAGTAAAATGCCAGACAAACAATTCACTTCAATTTGCTTGTAAAAACCTGCTTATATGGGTCATTATCTTTAATCTGTAATTTACCATTTCTAAATTCTTCATCAAATGAGTCTTACATGTACACATGTGCGATTAGTGGATGTTTTTTTTTTCAACCAGATTGTGATGTTAATTTGAAAAGAGGTCTTTATTTCAATAAATTGTATCATGGCAAGCTTAGTCTGAGCAATTAAAGTTTCAATTGAAACTAAATTTCTCTTTGATAGTTACAGAGTTGGTCAGGGCACCTGCACTGACAACCAAGACAAAAATTTGTTAGCATGAAAATGTTTGGCTTTATTAGCATGAATGCCAGAGGAGTTCAGTCTAGACCGACAACACAAGGAAGCTCAATTTGTCATACCAACAATCATACTCAAAGAGTCAACTTCCACCTATACAGTTTTTTTCCCCACGAACCATGAGAATTCCACCTAAAGTAGTACTGTATTTGCCGGCGTAAAGGCCGCAGTTTTTTTTTAAGAGAAAATATCAAAAAGTCGGAGTGCAGCCTTTGCGATCGCAAGTCAAAACCATGAAAGACAGCACAAATTTGTACATATGGGACAAAAATGAAAGGTGATTGACATTTCTAGAATAACTGTTTAATGTCTTACCGACAATTATGTGTTATATTTTTTAAATGAAGGGCAAAGTTTTGTCAATCTCGTAAATAAATTCATAACTTGCCTTGCGCGTAGACTAGAAGGGATGAGATTTAGATGACGTCATGCGCAGAGAGAGTTTAAAATACGGCTGCAAGATTTTCAACATGTATGTCGATTTTGACCTATAATTTCCTAAAAAGGGACCATTAAACAGATTATTTCAGTCAAGTTGGTAAGTGGAACCGATATATACATGTACACTATAATAGCCTAGGCCTAATTTTCAATATGAGAATCACCGGATAAGCATCCTTTTGAACATGGAATTTGGGCATAAGTTTGGCCAAGTTTGATGGATAAATCGGTCCACGTAACCTACAGCGTATCGCCTATGGTCAGTTTCTGTCTCTAAAGAGAGGAGCCGACCTTACCCAAATCAGAGCCTAATGAACGAAAGAGACAGAAATTTTGGTACAGGCCAGACTGGGAAAAAAAAAAGAAAAGAAAATAAAAGGTAGAAATTGGTAGACTATGTACTGGCCGACCAACTCGAGGCCTCAGCTAGCTCCTTGCATATCGCAATCACGTCGTGTCAAACATGCGATTTCGAAACGTTCACTATACCGCATACGCTACACCCTCGCCCGCGCGTCACGAAAATGTCACACATAGCTGATCTTTGAACTTTGTATCTCTGCATTGGCTTAATGTTATGTAATGATCGGGAGTGATCGCAAAGTTGCCTATTTCACGAACGACCTTATACCCATGCATAAATATCACGCTTAGACTTTGATAGTCTACAATCATAATTCAAAATCTTTTTGTGCGGGTTCTGTTGCAACTCCGGGAAGCTCCGACGCCGATGCCGAAGGCGTCGGAGCCCCCTTTTCCCATCGAAGACTTCTTCAAATTATAATTTCGAGTGGCCTGCGAGATGCCCAGAGGAGTCGAGCAACCTAGTAAGTCACAATTGTAATTACTCCCTTTGCATATTTTGAGATAATGTCGCCCAACCCGCTGTTAGAATGTTTTTCGATGCACCACCCGAAGCTCCGAGGCCTGAGGCCTTTGGCATCGGAGCTTCCCGGAGTTGATTCGGTTGTAGACTACCGGTAGATCCTATTACAGGCCTAGACTATTAGAATTTTTTTTTTTTAATTGCATAAAAATTTATCTTTCAAAGTGAAATCAGCGATTCTTGAATGAGGTAGATCTAGGTCATTCTGGATCCCAGCATTGGAACAAATCAATGTAAATGAACACTCTATTTCAGTCAAATCACATTCACATTTTTTTCTTACAATGATTTTAATATTTTTATTATTAAAAATTGAATTTTTCCTGGTCATGCGATCGACTACAATTTACAAAGTTACAAACATTATCAATGGTAATCTTGAGAGTTTACAAAACAGATTCAATACACGTATTGACGTAGGCCTAACTAGGCCTCATTGATTTTGAATTTAATTGACAAGCTTGCTTTCGTTTTATGCAGATTTACAAGGAAATTAGTTACAATTTACGGGTACCCGGCTTAGCACGGCAACAGCCTTGAGCTGAGCAACATCAGCTATGCGGCTGCCTCCGCCTGCGCGAAAGTGGCCGCAGCGGGCCTGCACCGAGAGCAGCAGTGAATCATCAGCCAATGTTTTGACTGCGTTCGTCATTACTGAGTGATTGATTAACATACCTTTGTAATGCAAACGTAGATTGTTTTGTGACAGTCCTATGAATGTTGATTTCGTTCGAGGATTCCATGTTCGAGGTAGAGGTGTTTCATCTTCATTTACCACCGGGTATAACCGTTTTAATCTGTCAGTTGGATCTGTATTTTCTGTATTTTGGTTGATCGCCGAGCTTGTTCCTTCACCATTCGTCGCCATTTTCGCACTTACTCCGATCTAATATTACACAACTCAATGAGCCACTCAGCACAGCATCAAACGTCATAAACAATACACGTGCCGAATAACTATTTCGTAGTCTAAAGAAGACAGGCGTCTGTGTAGAAATTAATGATGCATCATCAAGATTCGAAGATCTGTATTAATTGATTGTGTAAGAACTGGAGGATGTAAATCCCTAATTAAGTCACGTATGCGATTCGAGGGCACTATAGCGTACTTGAAGTGGGCAATGTGTAGTTTCTTCTGCCAAAATTCCGACCAAAAAAAATAGGCCCCATTGCTTTAGGTAAATAATCATCACTGATGCATATTTTTCTGCTCAGTCGCAATGCGGCCTAATGAATTGAGTTTAGGAACACCCCCCCCCCCTTAAAACAAAAATGAAGGGTAAAGGAAATTATTTTTTTCCTCACCAGGTAAGGCCCAACAGTCACACGAATGCATAGAATTGAAATGAATTATTTGAAACTCCTTAAACAAACAAGTATGCGGCAAGTATGCAAGAAATATTGGCATTTTCTTGAAAATTGTTATTCAAGAGTAAAGATTCTAAATTCACCGAATACCACTGTTATTTTGCTTGCAAATGCCTCCCTACCGAGTCCGTTGTCAATGGCAAATCAGTTCTCTTTTGCTGAAAAAAACACTTATCATCAACGGCTCGGACCCCCCCCCCCCCCCCGGGCCGACGCCCGTGGTCCAGATGGTCCACTTTTCAAAGGGGAATGTCCTACCAACGCGAAAATGATCATGGGGTCGGCCCCTCCTGTAATTTTAAAATCGCCAAACCACGATAATAATAATAATGGATTTATATAGCGCCTTTTACTAAACGATACCATGGCAGGCGCTGGCTCTTAAGAGGATCATGTACAGGTAGTTTCAGTTGTTTTTTGAAGAAATCAGTACTGATTTAATGATTTAACCCCAACGTCTAACCTTATTAAGAGAAAATTGAAAATGTCAGGATAATAACATATCACCATAATTGACCTTTGTGATTAAAAGGCGATATGAAAATGCGTTCTAAACTATTCTTTATAGCATTCTTCAATATACATAGCCTCACTGTTGTTGCTTCAGATGGTTTCGTGAATCTAACGAAAATGTAACTGTCAGTTTGAAAATGATTACAATTAATTACTCCTAATCTTGATTGTCATCTACCTCATGTGATTTCATTAATAAATTTAATCGATTATTACGATTTAGTTAAATTGCGTGCCTGTATTTTCATAACATCTTTATTACTACACGTATAAAATAAAGGTATAATTTTTATATACAGCGCATCACAAAAGCAGGCACGTAGCCACGGGGGGCACGGGGGGCATGTGCCCCCAAATTTTTTTCCAAGATCGCTTGAACTTTTTAGACCTCTCCTCAGGACGTCGATCGAGTAATGTGCCCCCCCCCCCCCCCCAAACATCAAACTCTGGCTACAGGCTGCACAAAAGACATCAAACTCGATATTTTTAAAAATATGATTTATGTATAAATACAGGTACGTTTTCCTTTCGTGTATAGGTCATCAGTGGTTCAAATAAATTAGCCCTCCTTTTTTCCTATACCCGGCCGCTCCGAAGGCTTTCGCTCTTTCATCTTTTGTCCGAGAGATTGTTTCGCCGTCTCCATAAGACTAAGTACTACTCTTTAACCAAGAACTTCTTGCTTTAACCAATCGCAGTTCAAATGCCATTTTCTTTCCAGGGCGCGACTCTCGGTGCTCAGTCTTCAAGATTTCCCACTAATCTAGAAAAAAGGTGAAATAATCAAGTTATATTATAGTTCCGCCGTGATAAAAAAAAAGTACAAGGACTCGGAGAAGAAATCTTAAAGCAAGCAAGGAGACCTCGGATCGCTTTGCTAGTATTTCCTATTAACCACAAAAAATATATTTAGATTTGGAAGTTCGGTACCACATTACCCCCACGTACCTTTATATAGAGCACTCTGTTTTATTATCTCCCTGCTCTTCCCCTTTTGTGTCAAGTTCCTGTTTCTAAAGTCTAACACGTAAAGCTTCTGTTTTATTGAATGGCCACAATTACATCGCCCCATTCAGGAAATAAATAGAAAGGACAAAGGGTATGAGAGAAAATGAGACTACGATTATCTTAAAATTCCAAGTGTAAAGCTTGAATGTATAGACTAATAAGGTTCATATTGAAAATGTGATATTATATTATCATCATTTTTATGAAAATGTATAGTATTGAACTGCATTGAAGCCTCTAACCGGGGCCTCTAATTGGTCTAATATTTTTTTATGGGGACCAATCAATTTCGTTTGCCAATTTCTTTTTTCCATTTCCCCCGCATCATGCAGTCTCTATTACCAACTTTAAATTTTTAACATTTTTGTAGGGAATATGAAAGGAACTATCAAAATTTGTTGCAAGATTGCCAGAATACACTGCTACTAATCTTCTAACAGGGAACGCAACTATTATCACTGTTCTTTTATACCCATCATCAGCGCTATCTAGCGCGCGCTGGGGTGCAGGTGCGATTGGTGTGTACGTATGCACGCTACCATAACAACGGGTCAAGCGAGGTCGGAAGCGAAGAACGGATCGTCGGATGTTTTCATTTTCAACCTAATTGTTTCTTATCGTAACCACATTTGAGGAAACAAATTGTAGCTTTTAAGATACAGATACAAAGCAGACATGTCAGCAAAGGCCCTGGCAAGGTTACCACCAATCCAAAAATCGAGGTAAATAACAAACATCACCATATTTATCAAACATATTTTGTTTTGTAACTCTCGCACTACCACTAGATCTAGTGCGACTTATACAGGACTTCCAGGCCGCTAGGGCTGGCCAAATTCACGCGGACCGTACCGTTCGTTCCGCCGTGACTGGTGTGATTATCTATTCTACTATTTCTAGCCCATCGTCATTTCTTCCTCTTTAATTTCTTTTTTTATTTATTCTCACGGTACTAAATCAGTATCTAATACATCTTTATAATCAAGCAAACTTCCAAATGCCTAATGCCTAATCTAATGGCTGTAATGCCAATGGTGAATGTTTTTGATCATGACATTGCATTGTGATTGAATGATTGATGGTTGACTATTTTTTTTGTTTAACTTTAAAGTTTAAATATTAATAACCAATTTCTTACATTACCTCCTTGAAGATTTAATGGTAAGTCAGTAGAATTTTAAATTAAACTTGAACTTTAAAGACTTCATCATCATTTACTTCTAAAGGCTTGAAATTAAATGGTTAGATTGTGTAGGTAGACTAGAATCTAGTCTAGATCTACATGTAGATCTAGAATCTACATGTAGGTCAATTATTGAATGATAACAATCAATGAGAATGAGTAATATTGTCTCTAGAATTCTAATTTTCTAACTGGACTGTAGTGTCAACTCAGTTAGACTTAGAAGTTAGACTTAGAGATATATAATTGAATTGAGAATATCTTAGTCTGACTAGTCTATGAAAGAAATTTAGTTTCAATGCAGATCTAGATCTAAAGTGAAAGTTCTAGATCTCTTCAATACGTTTTGTATAGTAGATGGCTAGATCATAGATGCATACATAACTAACTTGATGATTATATATTTTGACTCTGCACCTTGACTAAACGCTTTTTTTCTTAACGTACCATCTACAGTCCGCCTCCACCTGCAAACATCAATGCTGTGATATCACCCAGGGCTGGTAAAGCTTTCAGTGGACTCCAGGGACCAAGCTACCAGCTAGGAGATGGGGGTAAACACAGGCTACCTGAACCTCAGGCATTGAAGGTAAAACATCACAAATTTCAATTGAATGTTGAAATTGAAAACTCTCGGTATACATGTACATTGAAATATAAGACATTCAGTTTGGTATCATCCAGTAGAGAACTCTTAGGCTCGTATGTTACAATTCCCAGCATTAGTCAAGCTATTGTGATGAGGCACTTCAGCATTCAAAGAATGTTCATCTTCCAGATACCCACTCACTTCACCTGGGTGGAGAGTGGCATTCATACATGTGTTCTATATGTTACCATATTCATGGTATTTCATATTTACGGTATGTAAAAAGTATCTATAATGAATTGGAAAATGATACATTTTAATTCCTCAAAAGTTTTCCCCCAAATTTTAAATTTCAGGGATCTCTTTAATATCTTCTTTTTTTTTTAACTTGAAAGCAACAAGGAATTCAGACCTCTTTTAGGTGATCATATTTAACTTCTTTCAAATAAGTCTGTTAAATTTACATCATGTATTTTCTGACTCTGCAACATTATATGTATATATAAATTATAATACACCAGTTTACAGTTGTATCAGTGCGCATGCGCAGACATTTGACCTCGGGTCATTGGCCCCGGAACGGGGCCAATAACCTCTGACCTCTGGTATTTATGCGTAAATTAAGATTGCGCCCATGCAAATGATGATGTGCGCGCACAACGCAGCGCGTAGATCATCAAAATTTGCATGGGCGCAATCTTAATTTACGCATAAATACATGACCTCTAGGTCATTGGCTTTGTTTAAAATGGCGCACACAACTGTAAACTGGTGTATTCAACTTCTTTCATTTCATCTGACAGCCATTTGTAGATACAAAGGCAGGAAACTTGGACACATGGCCAGCCCATGCCACAGCCCAGGCAGCAGCATGCCCCTCCCTACCCTCCTCCCAGCGGCCAAGGGGTTCCAGCGCTGAGGAGTATGGTAGAGGACGGAGCACTGGAGGAGAGGGAGGGGCGCATCAGTCAATGGTACCCAAACCCAAGTTCCTGGAACAACTGGAAGTGTTCCTCAAGAAAGAACTCAGAAACGTGGATGGTGGGAGAGGAGGTCCAAGCGATACAAGATTACAAGTGAGTTCCTTTTTTTCAGTAATATGTCATGGTCGTCACTCGTAGTGATTGTCACATACATGTATAACATCCAACCAGCATGATATCATTTTTGTCAGATTTATGTGTTTTATCTTGTTAAATGGTGAAAAGACATGTCAGATGCTTTGGCACATTTTAAGTAAAGTGGAATTAGAGAATCTGGCATTGGCAGGAAATACGAAGGAGAAGAGGAGCAGAGTAAGAAGAAAGGTTCCTTAGATACAGTAGATAGTCTGACTGAATAAATAGATATGAAGGAATGAATTTAGTGCAACTAATAGAGGGGCTAGATACAAAGAAATGTAGAAAAACATGGTCACCAAAGTCCTTAGTAACTGCATCAAGATAGTATTTCATTGAGCTTTAAAACCAATCGTAATATTGTTCATTGTTTATTGTAATTTGTTAGATTTAACAAAATAAAATCAGTAAGATCAAAATCAATTTTACTTGATGAAACTTCCCACCTAAATACTCTTCACTTTACTTTCTTTGTTGAATGATAATAATACTGTTTGGTTACCAAACTAATTCATGATTTATGGTTTTTTTGTTTTTCCTTCAGGCATATCGAGAAGTGTTTGAGTATCTGATAGAAGACTTCAAGGCTTATAAACCCATCTTCTCTTCAATTAAGAATGAATATGAAGTCATGATGTCACATCAAAGAGAAAAGATCAGAGAACTGGAACCTCTCAAGGTAACATATTCAGAAAAATGTAGAAGTTTCATATATTTATGAATAAACTTATCCTATCAATATACAATGTATATATTCATGTAATTACAAATTGATGTTAAACATTTATTTGGTAGATGGATAATATACTGGGGTTGATTTTGTATGTAACATGTCTATTCAATCAGGGCCGCGTATAATAAAGATTCATGATCTCAAGTTTGATCAATACACAATGAGCCTTGGACTTACGCTCAATATTAACCTTACAATCAACCTAAAGGCTTTATGATACATGGCCCAGTACAGGGCGCGACAAACCCGCTTGCCCGACGTCCCGGGGCAACCAAATTGAGCCGTCGGGCAAGTAAATCAAATTATCACTTGCCCGATTCGGGCAAGTGATACTTTTACAGTAATTTCCTAGTGTCCAAGAACTCTACCATTCACCCGTCAACTTCTTACCCGTCGTCAAAATCCAGAAGCAAAAAAGCGATCGTTCCGATTTCGAAAAAACTTCACAGACAGCTAGCCAGCTCAGCTAGCTCAGCGCGCATGCAACAGTGACACTTCAAGCCATGAATGTCGCTCCGCCTCCACGCACGGCCGGCCGTGAGCTAGCTAGAGACAGCTAGCGCGATCGTACCAGCTGCGAGCTTATTCGCGCTCTCTCTCTCTAGCTCTGCAGGCCGCACCGACAGGCCTTTGCTATTCTCTGATTGCCGATTGGTTGAATCACGCCAAATATGACGTCATTATTCTAGGGAAATGAACACGTGCGAATCGGAATGGAATAAACAACAGGGATTTTCTAGTAAGTACAAAAAGTCAAATGTTTGATATTTATTCATAATGACTGTTAATGATTGTGAACATATTATTTAAAACTCGCTGCTCATATAAATCAGATGAATGTTTTTGTCTCGTTTTCAATTTATTACTGCGGTCTCAAGATCCGACCGAGCGAGTCATTTTGATAATAGTATCGAGACCCCCAGAATATAAGCCGTTGTTGTTTTGTTTTCATGGTTTTAGCGACGTTGTTTAGTCTAGTTTTCGCATACTTATCCGAGATTTATCGTAAAATATCTTCAATCCTTGTCATACTGCTGATCATGTGATGTTGCACCATGGTACATGTGGCTACCATTAATGACATGTTTGTATCATATTTTTTACAACAGGGTCATTATGCTTTTTTACATGACTGAATATTAAAAACTTAAACCTGCTTGAACCATTCTACCTTGCCGAGATTCATGTGAATCTGATTATTTATGGAGAATCAATAAAATGCGTTTTTTAAACCTTCAACCATCCTTTGTTGACCATTTTCTTTGACATATTAGGTTATTATTCAGTACAGTTACACTGTACATGTATGTGCATTAATTTGCTATCTAAAACACTAACTTATCATTACGAGATAATAAATGCTTTAACCTCGAGTCCTTTTTCGCTTTAAAGTTTTGGGCAAGTGGAAATATTGTTTGGGCAAGTAAATTGAAAACCCACTTGCCCGACAGGGCAAGTGGTGAAAAAAATTCTTGTAGCACCCTGCCAGTATTAATAAGTTCCTGTATATATGGAATAATATAAGATATTGATAACTGTCATTTGGGGGGGGGCTGATAATGTTCATATTGTTTCAATCAGTGTTGCTGTTTCAGAAAATTGGGGAAATCTGTTAGGATTCATAGTTAATATTCAATACTGAGATGATTTAATATGATGTCCTTTCTTATCTTGTGGTGACAGTATTGAATACACCTCAAGTAAATACAGATTTAAATCAAATCATACTTTTAACGTTCTATCATACGCAGTCCATGTTGGTGACGGTATCGGAGCAGTGTGACCAGAAGATCATGGCTCTCAGGGAAGATGAGAGACAAGAGATGAAAGATCTGAAGAACGAGAAGCAAGCTCTCCTGGAGCGTATCAGCGGCATGAGGGAGGAACAGATCTCATTGCAGATGCAGATTGAAAAGGTAACACAATTATACTGGGTGAAAGGAAGGTCCTATCGAACCCCTGGACAGTCACCCACCCACAACAATGCGGGATAGTTGGTTACCCCCTATCGTTTACGAAAGTACCACTTGACAATTTCCCAGCTAATGGCATTGTATACTTAGATGCTATTAAAAAGTTAACCAAGTTATTCAAATTTGTTAATATTCTTTGTGGAGTCCCTTGGACATACTATTTCACTGATATTTGTACAGTATGTATGATAGCAGCTTGTCTGAGTTGTCCTAGCAATTTTTAGATAAGAATTATGCACATATTAAAGGGAAATGTGTTTGATTATTTGAATTGGAGTCAGAATTGGTGGTAAGAAATCCAAAAAAAGAAGAAGATCAGAGCCCTGTCTTTGTGAGTAGTTGTGAAGTAATCAAACAAAGAAATAGGATTTTAGAAGTAAACGAAAAACTTGCAATCAATCTGGATCAATCACAACTTTTTTATAAGACAGGGTCCACAACCAACATGAATGCTGACTATGTTGCTTGTTTTGCTCTGATATTATCTCATCTTTACTTCCAATAACAATCCTGAGTGCACTCAGTTTGAACCATTCTGTCTCGTTTAACCCCATCACAGCTCCAAGAGAAGATAGCTGAGCAGTATCAGATGTACCGTGATGAGTGTGATGCCCGGAAGCTCCTCGTCTCTGATATCAACGACCTTCGCTACCAACAGGAGGATTATCAGAAGGCTCAGGGGAACCAGGAGGTACCCGCTGAAGCTAAGGAAGACCCTGTCAAAATGAAGATTGCCCTCAGGTGAGTTTAAAGCCCCACTGCACTACTAATAGTTACTTAAATGTGCCCTCTATATAGCAAACAATGCCTAATCGGTGCATGTTAGTCCCCCATGATCCCCCTTTTTCTTATGTTAATTGAGAACTGATTTGATGAGATAACCATCTGTCAGTGACCTTGCAGGGAGGTCTAATCCCCCTAGTACAGACGGGATTTAAAGGCAGTGTATGCCATGTTGTTGATCATGATGATATTGATGATTTGAACAATGATGATGATGATGATTGTGTCATGGATGTTGGTGATGATGATGAGGATAAGGATCATACGGTAGTTATCATCAGCTTTATATCTTCCTTAAACTAGAGATGTTTGTGAGCTTTTCCTCTTGATAGCTTTACGTCTTACTAATGGCTCTACGAGAAATGTAAAATCCATTGAAAAAAGGACTTCAGAATAATCAAGTATTGAATTTAAATTACAGCTATCCACAAACCAAACACCTGACTATGTAAACATTTAAAGTATATGATGACCGTTATTTTTTATTAAAGCTACATTATTTTTTTAATAAAAAAACAGATAAAGCTACAAAAGCTCAAAAAGTTGCTGATAGTATTTGTTAATTAAACTGAGTTTAAGAATTATTTGGTTAGATGATACCATGAAAATACAGTTTGATTTCGTTGTTTTTATAATAGGAAAGCAAGAGAGGATCTATATGATGCAACTCAGCGATTAAATGAGATGATTGCTAACTATGGTGATGTGGTTCCAAGAAGAGATTTTGAATTCTTGACAGCAGACCATCAGGTATGTTGACATTCTTAACCACTGTGCAACCCGTGTCATCACCTGGGAACCAGAAGGATCGTTGCAGCCTTCTGGGCCCTGTTTCATAAAACCTGTTATCAATGACAAGTTAAATTGACTGTTACAAGCTACTGAAATTGTGGCATTTGATTGGCTGAGAGCACATTTGTCATAGAAATTAAGCATTTTTTATTGAGAACAATTTTTATGAAATAGGGCCCTGGTTCCGTGACTTAACCGGAGTGTTGGCTCAGTCAGTAGAGCGTCAGCCTCACAACCGGGAGGTCGTGGGTTCGAACCCCGGCCGCGTCAAACCAAAAGACGTTAAAAGATGGGAGTTGTTGCTACCTTGTTTGGCGTTCAACAATAAGGGATAGAGCAACGTCGATCTGGCGCTGCTCAGTGGCTGCCGGGCTCACGATCAATTGGGCAAAAAGAATTTCCGTTTCGGTTTAATAAAATTTGGAGTGGACTGTTAGGCTATTATTATTATTATTATCAATTATTATTATTATTAATTTGCAGAAGGAATACTGACAGGACTTTGCTAGGCAGTACAAACAAGGAATAAGAATATGTTGTTTAATTCATATCTTGTTTTGAAATTGATTCGTTTTCTCTTTTTCCCAATATGCGTTGAAGTGTTCTATTTTGTGCAGTTTAATTTTGAAGAGACAAATTTGAGTTTTTTTCTTTTTTCTTAACTTTAAATTTGCAGATGTCATTGATATAAAAAAACTAACATTGATGAAATATCACGTAATGAGACAAAATTGTTTTCTGTTTGAATTTCTAATTATCTTATATTTTGTATATTCACAGAAATTGAAAGAAGAACATGATACTTTGAATGGTGACTACAAACAGCTGAGAGCAGAGCATGAGTAAGTTTTCTTTCTTTCTTTCATCAGCAGACATGGCCTCTTGTACTATGTATGCTTTCTCATCATTAGAGCTAATGCCACAACAATTCTTTTTGCTACGATATTATAAATAATAATAATAATAATAATAATAATAATAATAATATTCATTTGTGAAGCGCAATAAGTATGTGGAGCTCGTAAATGCTGTGCTATACTATATAAACAAGTGAGTTTTCAGTCTTTATTCAAAATTATCTAGTGATGGGGCTTTCCTTATTTCTAGTGGTAATTTATTCCATAATCTAGGGGCAGCACAAAGAAATGATCGGTCCCGAGGGTTCTTTGGTTTTATATGGGGGTATTTGCAACATAAATGTGTCTTGTATACTACGAAGGTTACGACCATGAGTTTGAGACTTGATATGCAACAATTCAGTAACGTAACTAGGAGCTTTGTAGACTATCATTAATATTTTGAATGTAATTCTCTGGCAAACTGGCAACCAGTGTAGTTCCTGTAGAAGTGGGGTTATTCGAGAGAATTTTGGTAGGCTGCAAATTATAAGTGTCCTTTGGCAGGATGAGCAAGATTCATCAACTCTTTCTTTACTTTTTTTTGTATTTCATAGATATCTATAGAAATTGATATTATAATCAAAAATGTTGTATTGAATGGGATAATACACTTGTTTTTTTTAATAATTTAAAAAAAAAAATATTTAATTTCTGTTTTACATGTTTTAAAAAAAAATAATTTGTCTAATCTTTGATGCATATTTTAGAGCTCTGTTAGATGTGAATAAGCAGATCATAGCACAGAGAGATGACTTCTACCAAGAACTAGAAAGCCTCAAAAGAACAGCAACACCAAGGTATGTACATTCATCTCTTCTATATCCCCTCTCTCTCTCTCTCTCTTGTTCTCTCTCTTGTTCTCTCTCTTTTTCTCTTTCTCTCTTTTTCTCTATCTATCTTTTTCTCACTCTCTCTCTCTCTCTCCCTCTCCCTCTCCCTCATTCTCTCCCACTCTTTCTTTCCTTTTCTTTCTCTCTTTCTCTATCTCTTTTTCTCCTTTTATCCCGTGACTGTCTCTTTTTCTTTCTTGGGTGTAATTTCCAAAATGAAAAAAATAATACCATAGCAATATTATGTCTTTGCACATGCAGGGCACATCACATGTGGAAGAATGTCACTATGTGCTTCAAAATTACTTTTGAATTTACGTGTCGGAGAAACACTGTTAGCATCTGGAAATCAAATTTTGCCTACCGGTATTCAAGTGCTCTGGCATTTTCTGAACCTTTGTTAATTCAGTTATTTTGGTAATTTTGTCTATTCCAGTGTATTACAATTCATTGATTAGTTTTACCATAATTCTATTTATATGAGATGAAAGCATTTATCCCTTTGTTTGATTACTTATTGCATTGCATTTAAAGATAAAGGAGAAAGTAGTCCTATCTTTATATGGACAATAAAACATTGAACGTTATTATATGGTGTGTTGACGATGCTCTTTGGTATGATACACAGGCCAGAATGGGACCGATGTGCTGAGGTGCTGGAAGGAGGAGAGGAGAGATGGGTGCAGATCTCACAAGGAAAGAAGAGCGATCAGCTCGTCACGTTGCTCCTCAAAGAGATCATGGGAGATGGAGAAGGCTACGAGTACTTTGAACCCAAGGTGAGTGGTGCGGTTGCTATGGCAATGAACAGCATCAGTGTAATGATAAAAGTGAAGAGTAATGGTGGGCGGTATTTGGTATCCTTCAAGGTGGTGTTAGTCACAAAGATGTTGAGAATGATGAGAAGGAGAATTCTGAAGAGTCTGAAGGCTTCTGTGATGAGATACCTTTAATGATATAATGTTAAAACTTGTTGTGGAGAATGACATTGGGTATTATGTAATAGAGATCAATATGGGACAAAAAATGAGGAATATGTTTTAGATCTGGTGATAGTATTGATGAAGAACGTGGTAATGCTGTTTGTTGAAGATGAGAATTTGTATGAAATCATTAATATCGAGAAAAAGAATCTGATAACAATAAATGGGTTAAGATCCTTAAAGAAATGATTATAGTTATTGTATAAATGTTATGTTGATGGTGATTATGCTGATAAGATGAGACTGAGCACAATCGGTTGTTATACTACAGTTTATGAAGACAAATATGATTTTAGTACTATCAAACATCCTTGTTATCATCATGATGACAGTCGACCTGGGCCCCATTTCACAAAACTTGTCATCAGTGACAGATGACTGTTTTTGTTATAAGCTACTGAAATCCTTGCTTCTGATTGGTTATCAGGAGATTTGTCACTGATTTTTGTCATTTGTCATTGAAAAAAGGCTTTGTGAAATGGGTAATGAAGTAAGTACCGGTAGTCATCGTGACATTACAGCCAAATATCTGGAAAATGTTTTCTGTCCTAATTTCAAGATCGTTTCTCCTCCACCATATAGGGCCTTGGTGATGATGTACCTGTATACATGCGATATGAAGGCAAGCTGAGGAAGAGGAAGATGGATGAGAGTGATGCTGGTATCCTCATCAAAGAAATATGGATGGAGAAGACTAAACAGAATCAAGAGGTCAGCTGTACTATTACATTCAAGATCAAGATTCAAGATATTTTATTGTCTGATTTAAAAAATACAGACATTCGTCCTCCACTGGCGAGTGACATGACATACATATACAAGCAACATAAACAATATACACATTCTAGGATACTTTTACTGTACAAAGTGTATATAAAGTGTCTGCAGGTGTAAAAGTGGTACTTAATTTGCAACTACAAGGTGTATGATTGTAGTTGGGTTTTTATCAGTCAGATGTAACTATTTGTGGCTGGGAACTGACTATTAACATGTCTATCCAAAAGATTTGACTTGGTTTCAAACTGGGGTCTATTATTAAAGAGGCAGTCTCTAGGTGAAGACAGAGAGCTGACCTTACAGACAACTCACATCTCCTGAATAATGAAAACGTTATCCTCTTCATTTTATATCCTCTAATGAGAGCCCAAAAGGGCATTAACTTATACCATGTTATTTTTTGTCAATATCATGGCAATAAGCAATATACTTTTTCTGTATAATGATTTCACAGTGACTTTCTTTTATATAAGAAAATCAAAAGGGAGGAGCCAGAATAACCTTAAAATTGTTTGCAAAATCTTTCAGAGAGGAGAAGCCGGTCCAGAGCCTATGGATATCTTCCTTGCTCCTTTCATGAGACAGAAGTACCCTGAGGAGAAACTTGCCTTTGAGTGGACGTACATGCTGCTCAGTGTACTAGAAGAGAATGAGAAGGACAACCATCTTATGCTCTTCCATAAGATTCTCTTAGGAGAGGTGAGTATGAAGGGTTCGTAGGTGGATGTCTTAGTTGGTGGAGTGGACGTATTTGCTTCTTTGTATACTAGAAGAGAAAGATAATCATCTTATGCTATTCCATAATATTCTCATAGGAGACGTGAGTAAGATTTGATATGTGGCTGGCTGAGATGGTTGATTAGTTGGTTGGTTGGGGCGATGTATCTTGGTTTGTTGGTTGGAGTTATGTGAATGTGGGTTGGTCAGTTGGTAAACTGGAAGGGAATAAAAAAGAAACTAGTAACCATTGTGTGCTCTTCTGTAGGACTCTCATATTTTTAATGGGTGGGTTGGGGGATTGGTTGGGCTGTTTAAAATATTTTGGAGAATTAGAAAGATGTTATCCCTTGCTCTTCTGTTGGTGTAATTCATTGTGAAATTTCTAACAAACTTAGAAATAGTAGCAACAAAGAGACATTTGGAAATAATAAGGATTTCTGGTCATCAGACAAATTGTTTAATTCTATTTTTTTGTTTGTATATTAAGTTCATTTTGGGATGAATTATTTATTAGTTTTACCCACTAATGTTTATTATACGATTGTCTCTTCCCTCAGATGGATGAAGATGTTTATCATCATCAGTTTGAGGTCTTATCTGATCTCATGGCAGCATTCAAGAAGGCTGATGAGGAGGAAGGCGGGCATGTAAGTAACAATAAAAATAGATGATGGTGATGATGATGATGATGATGGTGACGATGATGAAAGTAATTATGTTGATGATCATGATGATATTGATGATTAGAACAATGATGATATGTCACAATGTTGATGATGTTGATGGTGATGGTGATGATGAGGATGATGATGATGATGATGATGGTGATGATGATGATGATGATGGTGATGATGATAGTGATGAGGATGAGGATGATGGTTATCAGCAGCTTTATGAAGTTGAGGATATTGATCATGATAATGGTGGTCATGTAAACAATAAATAGGATAGGGGTGTTAAGAATGACGATATTGGTGATATGATCCTGATGATAATGATAGTGATAATTGTGAACTAATGCATTTCAAATTTGCTATTGATATAACTATGAATACATTTGTTATCATTTCCCCAGGGGAGTTTCAACAAGGATATCCTAGAGCACGCCTTGCGAGAGTTCTTCCCTATCAAAGATGATGATGCCATCCAAGCCCTGGTCGATGCTGCTGTTCAAGAACTTGAGTCTGAAGACGAGACCAAACTACTCTATGAAGAACTATTCCAGGAGGTGTGTATGGAAAGCTGTAGTAAACTGTCATACCAGAGAACTTGCCTGCAAGAAAGTTTAGCAACAATGAACTTTTTTCAATTTGCAACTTTTTTTAAGTGTAAAAATGGCAATTATGACAGAATTCCTGATTCTACATCACAGTAGTTTCCTCAAAAAGATGTGAACATTGATGCAAGGAAAAAACATGGCTTCAAATAAGACATTTCATGCTTTGATTTTCCTTTGCATGTATTGCTTAATAATAACGATAATAATCATAATCATAATAACCTCATGAACCTCATGCGCAGACTCTGTTGTTTAGAACCAGTAACCTGGACGACCAGCAAATATGGCATTCAGTATGAACGTGACTGACAAAGAAAGCGGACAAAATATACAGTTCCTCAGGTAGACAAAGGAACATCCCTTCACTGCTATTTTGTAAAAATGTGTAGAACAGGTGTCACATGCATATTCACCTTTGTCTACCTGAGGAACTGTATATTTTGTCCGCTTTCTTTGTCAGTCATATTCATAGTGATTAGCACTTGGCTACTTTATTGATTATAATGTCACCAACCTCGCAATAATGGAAGGAATTTTGACTGATTGTTAGTATGATGGCAAGTATGAACAATATGTCTAACCACTTCAGAAGTTAATGATTTGACCTGATGACTTTAAGCAACAGATGTAATTGTCTTGTATTGAGTCTCACAGTTGCCTGTAGCCTTTAATGATTCTTGTTTTTGTCTCTTTAATCAGGAGGAGGATGGAACCGTTGGACCGTTCATCTCTCTCCTCAGATCTCAAGAGCAAGAAGAGAAACTACAGTATGTGGATGACATCAGATTAGAACTGGAAGGAAAAGAGTAAGTTTGTTTTTAACCTGTTGACAACTGAACTCTCTCATTCCCTTAGGCTTAGTACAGGAGCCACCCGGTTCCAGTAAACAATGGGCTAACTGACATCTCAAATAATTTGCAATGGCATTTTTCTCTAGATGCTATTCAAACTGAGCTTTAAAAATATTTATGCCCTGTGACATGAAATGTGTTGTTACTAACATGTTACAATAGTTGATTTAAGCTACTGAGCTACTGACATTTAGTTGATTGGAGCTACTGACATTATTGAAATAGATTAACATTATAAAAAGTGTTAGAGGATTGTGACCGAAGTATGGTCATTACCATAGCAACAGGGCCTTTGTTAGTAAATCCCATTGATTGACAATTGCTGCTATTGCTGTCTTAATATAATTTAATCCCAATTCCAGCTTCCAGATAGGACCTCCTTGATTTTGCCCTTGGAAGATGGCTCAACAAATGATTGCTTTTCAGGTTGCATTGATTTTCTTTGTAGGGTTTAGGGGAGATTAAATTTTACCATGTTATTAATTACACAAAAAACTATTATTTTCCCCAAAGCATATTAATGTCAATAGCACCTTGGCTAGTTGAAAGAAAGAGCGATGAAAGAAAGAAAGAGGACAATTGTTTGGGGCATAATTGTGGAGAAGTGTAAACATCTCAGCTCTGTTTTTTCACTATTCCTGTAATTTGTGACTGTACTTGTTCAAGAAAGTTATTTATGATCTTATCCTTCCTTCTATCATTAATATTTAACAGATAAGTCAAACTAAAATGTTTAATTTGAGGTAAGATTATAGTGAAGTTGATGCTTTGTTGTCGATCTGGTAAGCTTGATTTGAATGGCATTATTGTTATGTTATTTCAACACACAACAGTTCTGTAGTGTATTATGCACCGATGATGGTTGGCTTTCAATATGATTTTTATTCTTTTAGCACAGCATTTTCTTTTATCTTGTCTTTTGCTTTTGATTTCATGTTTGAGTTGACAGATGGGTGACTGCTGTATATGAGCTTCTCTCTCTTTAATTTTATACTTTGTGAGCAATTTCACCCTATGTGCTGAAAAGGAAAAAAAAAAATAATCATTTGGCACATTAGATTAAGCATTTGTTATCACAGCCTGCACAGGTGCATGGGTAATTCTTTTTTCAAAAAATCTCTTTGCCTACAGTTATATGATATCCGGGTAAAAATTCACCATTAAAGAAAACTCTGAGGTGATATTGCAGATGCACATAGTTGGTGGTGTATTATTTTTTGGAAATAATTTGTTTGCCAAAATTGATTGTTTGGCATGAAATACCTTTAAGTAGTTCTTGTGGAGCAAACACGGCTCTCATAAACTTATATACGATAGCTACTTTTTCCATTATAAAAAAAAAAAAATGAACAAGCTATTGCAAAATCAAATATTTTTCATGCTGTTATCATCTCAAAATTTAAAGAACAACCAGACCCATATGTGTGAAAGAATAAACCAAATACTTTATTTTCTCACTAGAAAGAATTCATTACAAATTTCAAGCAACGTGGCAACAACAATTATGTTATATACATGTATATATCATGTCAGGATGGCATTCAGTGTAAGAAATATTCAACCACATCTTTGACAAATTGGATTTTTAAAACATTTTTTATATTTTTGTTTAAATCATCAGGGAGATTCCGTGGCGAGAAGTTCAAATGGCTATCAACGTCATCGATGCGGAGATAGACCGCCCTCACATGGTGCAGTATGTGTGTCGTGCGTTTGACGTTCCTCAGGACCAGATCACCACGGCGCAACCCACGACTCTAGACGTGATCGTGAGGAGACTACAGAAGAGCACAGTGAGGAGGATCGGCAAGCTCAACAGTTCTGAGCTTACATAGAACTACCATCTTCACGTTCGATTCATTGATTGATTTAATATATATGTACATTACCTTGAACTTTGATGTACAAAGACAGGATGAAAAAGTATGAGCAATATTTCTCCATATATAAAGGCTGCACATTTCTGAATCTGCAAAGAACTTGTACTGGTATCTTGATATTGAAAATATGAATTTATTACAAAATTAAACACTGATATACATGTACAAAGATATACCAAGAGACGGAAAAGTATGAACAATATCTCTTGATCAAGTCATGAGTTGGTTTCTTGATATTGAAAATATGAATTTTTATTACCAAATTAAACGCTGATGTACAAAGATATTCCAAGAGTTAGAAAAGCATGAACAATATCTGTTGATCAATTCATGCGTTGGTTTCTTGAAGCCTTTATTGATCACTGCCAAAAAAATATGATATGATTATAAATCTTCACTTTATTATTACAATGACAGGAGTGAATATTTCTTGTTAGAGATTATGAAGAATATTTTTTTCTCATTAGGACTACACTCTCAGAAAGGGTATCATAGTGGAACATACTAGTTTCATGCACTGAGTGTATTCTATATGAAAGAGGAAAGTTTCTTCAGAAAACTATTGGTTTACTTTTTTATCAAATGGACATAGAAGACAAATTCCTGTTTTCAAGCCTTTAAGCAACATTCACTTTAAATTTCTTATTACAGTATTGTACATGCCAAAGACTAATTCTGACACTTTCCCAAGTTTTTTTTTCTTCAAATCATGATTTATGTACACCTGCACTGATCTTACAGAGAGTGTAACACTGAATGAGAAGTAATCTGCACAATATCTGAGAAGTGAGGGGAACAAAATACATTGTAAACAAATGAGATCAAACTCCCTCACAACTAGGTTGTAGTACTGTGCTGTGGAATCAATACTCAGTATCTGAACAAAATCGTATGATCAAGTGTCGTTACTCTTTCCAGAACTCAAATGGGCCTTGGAAGAAAATGATTAGATAAGAAAACTAAGTCATGCTGGTATATTAAAGAATTGACTCCTTTTGGGTTCAAGAGAAAGGAAAAAAATATATTTGTATATAGTTCATGCACATATATATTTTGTATATTTAAAAATTATGAAGTATGTATCCAATATGTTTTCCCTTTGCTCCACCTTCAATTATACATACAATTCCAGAAATACCGTCCAAACTTTCAGACTCGTAAGGTGCTTTCCTGAAAAGCAGTATCATTACATGAAACCGTCCAAGCAAATGTGAATTTTGTGAAAAGCAGTACCGTATATTGTTATTGTATGTATATATTGTACAAATATATCTTACATTTTATTTAATAAAAATTGTTTTAAGATAAAGATATGAACCCTTACTTTTCATTTGTTTTCTGACTCTATTTATGCAACTTCATAAACTAAGGACTTCCAAGTAATTCTCTCATGTACCACATCTGTTGTTCTACCTAAAAAAGCTCTTGTCACACAAGAATACATCGTCTGTTGAGAGCCAGAAGGGCGTTCACTCTGTGTTAAGTGATATGAGTTAATGCCTTTCTGGCTCTGAGCAGACGACGTGATATATACTATGGCGTGTTCGGGGTAATCTTACGTGAAGATCGTGACCACGCCCTATTTCTTATATATCTGGTCCATGACGGGTGGAGGGGTAGTATCGCCATTGTCCTTGATGGTTTTCAGGTAGTCGACATAAGACGCAGGCAGCTGTGATTCTACAGCGCCCTCTATCATGACCTTCATGTAGTGGGGTGACGGAGGCTCCTCATTAGCACCCTCTAAGTCAGGTGCCATGTGGTAGGTGTGGCATGAGTAGGCCTGGCCCTCGGGGGTCGTCACGGTGACCTCTGGAGAAGAGTATCGGTAGAGGGTCCTAGGATGAGAATATCGAAAGACATTTGTTATATGCATCTATGAACCATGAATGTTGGCAATGCCACCATATTCATATTTTTTCTTGTTCATTTCTTCTGCTCTTCCTCTAGTTTTACCTTTTTTCTGTATCTCATAGCTTGTTTCCTTTCTTTCATTTAGCTCGATCCTGTAATGTTTTTCTTTCATGTTCATTATGTCTTTCCCTCTCATTTTTGATTGTCTCTTCCTCTTCTCTTTTACACTCTCTTCCTTAGTCACCCTCTCTGTGCTTGTCTGTAGCTTAATTTCTCTCTCTCTCTCTCTCTCTCTCTCTCTCTCTCTCTCTCTCTCTCTCTCTCTCTCTCTCTCTCTCTCTCTCTCTCTCTCTTTCATGCACACACACACACACCCACCCCTTGCTCTCTTTCTAGTATGTGACAGTAGCAAGGGATAACCTCAATATTATTCAACATATACATGTATTGTATTCAGAAAGAACTGGTATATCTATACGCACCAAAAATGGTTCACTGAATGGTAGTCTGAGAGGACTACTCCTAAAAAGGAGAGTTAGAAAAGAGAATATGATGTATAGAAGGTAAAATGTATGAAGAGAGAAGTCCGGAAAAGAAAGGAGAGAGAGAGAGAGGTGGGGATGGGGGGGGGGGGGGGTAAAGCTTTGAGATAAAGAATATCTTACGGGTAAAGTCCCTCAACGTCTGATTTGTCCAATCTCCATATAACTCCCCATACATGAGCCTGTCTGTCCTGTTCTATAGAACACAAAGATCCTCTCCATTGGCTCGTCTCTAGAGACCATCCAGGGTAGCTACGGAAGTTCAATTTATAGCCCTGTAGGGGGAGGTGTAAGCATGTGTCTTGTGTGTTTAATTGGGGTTTTACAGACGTGTATCAATCAGATATGATAATTTACGTCTGAGGACCGACCACTATGTCAGAAAGTAGACGTGACTCAGTTTCGAACCAGGGTCGCCCGAGCCAGTTTGTAGGCGAAGACAGAGCTGACCAAGTGACCTAGACCTACTCACATCTCCCGTTGTACTTTTCCATCTTCTATATCTTCAATATCGTCATGAAGTGCCACGATAACAATAACATGGAACTGTTTATGAAGTTAAAAAAAATTACCAATAATCACTTCATCATTGACGTGCGTGTACCTTTTTTTAAACGATTGAAACTGAACATTGATCCAGACTGGCAGATATATTTTTTAATGTAAGGGTTTTCATTAAAGTCACTGAGTAGTCGGCTCTCATGGGGAATTCGACACCGTTCGGGTGTTTACCCAATAATAGGTGTTGTCAATCACCAGGGTTAGCCTTGAGTTTTATGACCATTGGACCTTATGTAATGCTTTGAATTGCCCGAAGATTCTCGAGCTCTCCGAGATATTAGGGGGTAATTCTTGACTGGACTATGGGTTTGCTGTGTGCAAATTTGTACCCCCATTAATGGTATTTCCACCAAGTCTGGTGTCAGCGAATTATGGCCTTCTGCACATGGAAACTGGCGATCCACCCCCTTTAAAGTACCAATAGTCCACCTCGTTCTAAACTAAGTACTACCATAATACAAAATGGACCTACCTCAAGTTTTGCCGGGCTTACAAACTCAGCCGACGGGACATAAAGATGGAACCTTGACTTCAGTAGATTACTGGCATAGCAGAAATAGAAGAACTTATCATCTGCTGCTCTGTAATCATTGAATGGAATAGAATTTAAATAACACGAAGACAAGAAACAGTATAGAAGAAGACTATACATTCTCAAAATTTATATCCAAAATGGTTTTGTATCAAAGACAATGAGCTGTCAAAAACAGACACAATTCATTGTCTGTTGAGAGCTAGAGTGGCGTTAACTCTTATCAAAGGTTTTTAACCCTAATAAGGCCTCCACGATTTTTCTGATTGCTCGGGAACGCATATGGATGGCGCCCCGCCGCTCGCTGACTTTTTTCTTTCGAGTCTTGCGCAACTTTTAAAAGATTTTTTTTGAAAATCTGACCTACGGTTACAAGGTCACGTGACCTTTTGTCTTTGCATGTCAGCCCGAAAATCGCTCATTTTCGTGATTTGTGTACAAAACATATGGAAAAGTCATTTTTCCTAAAAACAGATCAAACATGGGTTATTGGGTCTTGTTTAAAGTTTAGATGGTTGTTTTGAGAGTCAAAATAGTTGAATTGTAGTAAGAAATGAAATAAAACAACAAAAAAAATGAAATACATAAGTTAAAAAAACAATGAAATACATAAGAAATTATTAAAACAAGGGATAACATAAGGAATAAGCTGGCTCTTCCAAATTTTTTTGTCGTATTATTATTTAGAATGGTCTAATGAATATATGTAGTGAAAAAGAATGCTTAAATATGAATACTATATGATTTATGGGTAAAAATGTGATTTTTGTAACTTTATTTGCATAAATTACCATAAATATGCAAATGAATGAATTTTTCGAAAATTTGAAATTATCATATTATTCTATACCACGCGTGTTCTATACACTTCACCTGACATACGTGCAAATTTTCGCGGCAATCGGCTTCGCGGCCGAGATCTTAAGGGGGCCATAATGCCCCCCCCCCCCCTGCCATACTAAGACCTCAAATAGCCCGGCCTTTTTAGGGTTAATTCAATATCAAAGGATTCAAATTAGCTCTATTCTTATAGCTCTTGAAGAGTTTTTACATTGATGAAACGGGACAGGCGGCTTGAATATATTTCAAATACGAAGAAAAAAAAACATGCGTAAGGAATTATAACACCCTCTCCTCGAAATACGTAGAATCATCTAAAGTCTTCAACTCGTGAGAGGCAAAAGTAATGTATTGTTTATTCTACAAAATTTCTCGTGTTGATTGTTTTGAAACTCAAAACTTACAATCTTTATCTTTCATCAAGACGAGATAAACATAATCCTTGTGTTGATGATTTTTTTTTTTCATGAAAGAAAGATCATCCGTGAAGGGTAGCATACTTAAAAATATATAGCTACAACGAACTGTAATGTTGCTTTACTATGTGTATATTTGATATATTTAAATATCAGACTGCAACGATATGACAAGCAACATAACATAGGATTTGTATGATATGTCTACGAAGCTCTAAGCAAAAGACTGGAAAATCAATTGCTACGCTTCTGCGAGTTCATGTAGGCTCGGCCAATCGGGCAAACTACATCAGCAATATCTTACTTGTGTGCACTTGTTGTAGCCATGGCTTTCCCACCTCGCCAGTCAAGTCACTCGGTCTGTTCACTTCAACTTTTGCTTAACCTAACACTTTTATAACCATCACTCGTTGAGGTCCAGAAGAAGAAAAAATCTGATAAATCAAAGAGAAGAACAAACATTTCAGGTGATTTAAAGAAAAAACGGTTTACGAGGGAAAAGATGTTACTTAATTTACGTAATTGTCCTCAATAATTATGACAGAGATGTTATAGGAAGTCCTAGATATACCCCCCCCCCCCCAGCTCTCTCTCTATCTCTCTCTCTCTCTCTCTCTCGGATGTTTTTCTAATTTATCTCAATTCCTCGCTACTGCTTTTTAATGATTTCGTCATCTTCATTTGATGTCAACTATGACCTTACTACAGCCTATACTGCCTATCTATCCCTCTGAAACCGTCGTATATATATATGCATAGGCATATACACAATTTAAGCGTGATTCATATATTCTACCGAATCTCATGAGAGCATAATATATACAACCTTGTCAAATCAAGGAGTGATTACACCTCTTGGTCAAATTGACTAATAATATAATTATGTATACACAATAGTCAGCGGTGATAGTATAAGTACAGTGATATTAGATCGTCCAATATGATATCTTTCCTATATATTCAACGATTTGTATTTTACTCACGTTACTTCAGTCGCTTCGCTTCGCACATAACAAGGCAATTCATATATTCCAGCTCTTGTTGCAGGACTTCGACTCAACCATATCTCTGCAGAGTACATGAGTGTTTATTTGTAATTTTTGTATAGGTAGACCGGCCTACGTTTGTATGTAGGGCATTCTAGGTCAGTTTACCCCGTGGGTATGAAAGGGATCATTGGTGGGTATAACGAAACACACATATTCTTATCCCAGGGATGTGTTGTATACATTGTTGTGCACAGGGGGGGGGGGGTTTCGGGGGTCAACCCCCCTCTTTGGAATATTTGTGTGTGTAAACCCCCCCCCCCCCCTTTGATCTTTTTTTTTATTATTATTATTATTAATAATAAAAAATAAAAAAATAAGAAAAACAATTCCCATAGCTGACCTAAAAAAGCTGACCTTAACCCCCCCCCCCCCCCCCCCAACGGAGCAAAATGTCAAATTTTCAAATTCCGAGACAAAAAAAAAAAAAAAAAAATGTCCTCTTACACCCCCCCCCCCCCCCCCCCCCCCCCCCCCCGCTTATTCAGCGGTCGGCTGAGTCGTTGCGATTTTTTTGGCCCCCCCCCCCCTTGAAAAAATCCTGCGTACGCGCCTGGTTGTGCATGCATGCGACTGCTCTAGGATTTCAGGATGCTCCTATAGTTTGCAGGACCCCACCCCCCCCCCCAACATTTTCACGCATAGTTGAAAGCATCAATATAGCGGTGAAACGAGCCCAATCGAAAGATTACCCGTCCATACTGCTGAACAAATATTATGAAATAGTATTATTTTCAGTTCATTTTCCCATCCCATACAATGATTCTTTGCCCAAGCCCCACCCTCCCTGTTTAGAGACGCAACAGCTGTCCAAAGTTGAACAGCGCTGCTGTTAATAAATTATCGTGACAACTGACTTTACCCTATCCTAATTTACCAGGGACTTCCTCCCCATAAAACACGTACAAGTTCAAAGTACAGTCCATTAACCTATATATTATGCCACCTTTGTAAAATCAATAATCAAGCCTGTAGGTGATCTACTCTATTCGCACACACATTCATGTATATATTACACGATCAGCCAGTAGTAATATACTTACCGTCCCTCGAGGTGATAGGGCTTTTTCAGTTATTGCCCCCCCCCCCCCAAAAAAAAAAAAAAAAAAAAAAAAAAAAAAACGAATCGCCATTCTCGTACAGCTTTCAAGAGGTGTCTGAAAACACATCTTTTCTCATTTGTTGCAATATTCTTCTCTGTTTGTAATTAATGTAAGCTTATGATAATGTTCTCTCTTTATCTCTCTCTCCCTTAGTTTGTTTAATTGTAAGTATTTCTTGTTTATGCGCTTTTTATCTAATGAAAAGACGCTTTATGAATATATTATTATTATCATTGTTATTATCATCACTAGTATTATTATTATATACAGAAAGGGTGTCGCTAAGTGTGGAAGTTGCGATACCCCTCAACCTGTCAGCAAGGTCATAATATGTTAAAATCTGAGGACGGTTTTTTTTTATTTCAAGGTTTTCTATTTCCCCCAGCAGCCTAGCATGTCCAAAAATATCAGCAAATTCGACAATGACGGCTAATGCCCCCCCCCCCCAATCCACTAAGTTTCAAATAGGTTATTCGATAAACACCCTGTTCAGTAGTAGGAACAGCTGACATTGTCATCAAGACTGTTTTGTAATATCAGAAACGCGTTACTAATTTGTTTCGATGCGTCAGGTCTATCTTTCTCAACCAAAACATATAGGTTTATAGTATAAGCATTATACTTTCCAAGACACACAGAGACGTTGCTTCGTCACAGTATCATAATATGATTTATTGCCATGGACAATGAGAATTGCATGAAAATCATTGCACACAATTTAAAGACAAAACTCGTGTCAATGTTAACGTATATGCAGGTATGAGCCAACATCACAAATAACTTCAGAAAAAATATATGATGAGATATTAACAAAATCATAGTCCATTTTCGTAATGTAATCAATTAATATAATGCATACTTCTTCGTAAAGCGCCTAAACACAAATTAATTCATTCATCTATTACGAATAATTTTATTTAGATAGTCAGAGCGCAAAATAGGGCAAGCTATTATATGTCTGTCCTGCCTAGTAACAACTTGCAGTTCGTATTCTGACTATTGAAATACAAATATATATATATATATATATAAATGTTAGGTGACTGTGATATCTCGCTGCTAAGTATAAAGAAGAGTAAATGTTAATACATTTTGAATATGGCTTATTCATCGCTATAACAAAGTGTTTGTATATAATATGTGAAATGTTCCTTTCAAAAATGCATGTGTAATAAGACAAACAGATACCAAAGTTTAAAATTTGGGGTTTAGGTTTAAGGTTCGATTTAAGGTTTTCAATTAAAGTTGAAGAAAGTTGATCATTTGAATAATTGACTCATGATAGCTGGTGGATTAATGTGTCCGTTGTGTTTGATCGATTTCAAGAACTTCACGTAGGTCTCTGGAAGGCCAGACTCTACAGCGCCCTCTGAGATGACCTTCATGTAGTGTGGTGATGGAAGTTCTTCCTGCAGGCCATTGATCATCTGATAGGTGCGACATAGATATTCCTTACCATCCGGTGACGTCACCGTCACGTCAAAAGCTCGGTAGCTAGATTCTGGTCTAAGATTCATCAAAGAAGGAAAACGAAAAATCTCTGACAAGATCGGCTAAGTTCCATGAAACACCAAAAAATATCAAGGGCTCTATAACTTTTCCCGTCATGAACATAGACGTAGGCATAAATTACAGTGTCTTTCAACACGTCAACATAAAAGAAAGTTCAAGGTTCTTCCCTCTTTATCTAGCTCTTTTCTTTCAGCACCTCAATCCTTCATAATATATCCCAGTCTCATTTCTATTGTCAGAATCATTCCACCATTATCAGGGCAATACTGCATGGCTATACTTCTATTTTATTCATATATTTTATTTATTTTCTTCAGCTTTTCATAAAAATACCAACAATTTTTGGTACTATAACAAACATAGAATAATAAAATGTACTTTATGACTATTAATCATAAATAAGCAAATATACATATTCATTATTTAAGGAAAAAAATAAAAGATAAATAATCAAATTATCCGTATTTGATCAAACTTTATAAAATTATTTGCGGAAGAAGGTTTACGATCTAAAATGCGGTGTTTCAATTAATAGCCTATTAATGTAAACAAAAGTGCTTCCATCTGATTAAAACGAATAAGTTCTATCAATAATGTCATTATAAGGTTTCCTTACGGGTCCAGGTTAGCCAGGTCTGAATTCTTGAGACGCCATACAGCTCCCCACACGTGATCCCCAGGGCTCTCTAGGATGGAGGCTGGGGCACCGTGCCATAAACTTTCTTCTATGCTCCAACCCGGGTAGACTTGAAAACAAAGCCTGTAGCCCTATAATTATCGTTAAAACAAATTTAAAGAATAACAGATGATCAACCGTTTGTATTTGCGGGTCATTCGGTTATTTCAGGGGCGCGTGCCCAACCCAGCAAACCAATTTCGAAGATACCCAATAAGTACACATAAAATGTTGTTTTTTAATGTGCCTATTTTCCCCCTCCCCGGCAGCATTACATGCGCATCCCCCTTATTGCTTGTCCGACGCAACTTATTTTAGGCTAGTGCTCCCGTTGCCCATGTAGACTCCTCGAATCGCCACTGATCTGACAGCAGGTTTTTTTTAAAAGTTAATACAATAGCATCGTAAATACTTTCGAAAATTAACCTAAGGAAATTTCAATGGCCTTGTACGTCACCTATTGAAATGTGCGAACATTAAAATGACGTATTACGTAATCTGAACATAATTCTTATAGGGCATGCAATATATGATATCGAACTTATAGCCTTTGAGTTGATTTTTCGAAAGTAGCTGTGACCGTGTTTTATATAGTTAGGAGTAGCCTAGTTGTCGACATTGGTTAGGTCAAGGTGGAGGTTGTGTTTGTGGATTCCCCCCATTTAGACCACTCCCCCCCCCCCCCCCATCCCGGGCTCCATCCCTTCACAATCATCACCCATTCCTCCTCGAAAGAATAAGAAAGAGAAATACATTATCAAGGAAGAAAGCTACGGTGCATACGTTTAAACTAAAATTGTATTTGGTTTTCTTGCCAAAAAATTAAAACAGATTTTTTTTTTAAAAATATTTTTCGTGGTTGGTTGTTGTTGCTATTTTGGGACCCCCACCAGGCTCTTCCTCAAGAAGCTAAAACCTAGATATAATACTCCATACACAGATCGACTGCAGTGTATAACTTACCTCTATTTTAGCTGGACCAACAAGCTCGCCTGTAGGGGTAGCAATGTGCAGGCGAGCCTTCAGTAAGTTGCTGGCAAAGCCAAAATATAGAAACGATTCCCCGTCTTTACTAATCACCAATGGAAAAGTAAAAATAAGAAGAGATTTAAGGATTCGACGTTTTGATTTTAGGTATCTTCATGCCCATCAATGGGTAGAGCTTTAGAGTAAAAATGAATGCGCTGAAATAAAATTTTGGATCAGGCATAGAATAAATTATAATAATCATAAACCTACGAAAGAGCATTTTTTTTTAAAACTAATAACAACATAGTAACTTACCGTCTATATAAAAGGTAAGTTTACGCGGCATTACTTCTATAAGGTAATTTAAAATTAGGATCAATGATATAAAATAATAATTGCATGTACGAAATTACCTCAATGCACCGCTATCCATGTTCTTTCGAAAGATTTGCCACTTTTAAATACGAGACCGGGAGAAAATCTTTCGTGAAGAAGTGTCCGTGGTATAATTATGATGTAAAACAAATCTGCTTGAAAAATTTGCACCTTTGATAAAAGAATCTCACTCGCAAATAAAACTTTGAACTTTAAACTCTTGTTCAATTATTTGATGCAGGTGTTCAGATCACAAGAAAGAATGATTTACATTGCATCGAGTGTTACGACTTGTTAATTGCTTTGTAACCCTGGTAAAATATGCAAGCAGACGAGGCAAAAGCGTTTAAAAATTTATATCGGATGCTATGACCAATAGGTCACTTTCGTTATGTAACCAAATTTAATGCATAAGTCTTTGTGAAGTGCCTCAATACAAATTATTTCATTCACCTGTAAAGAGTAATAGTGTTTCAATAGACATAACCCGAACTACATACATTAGTTATTGCCAGGTAGGACACACATTATGGCTTGACCTACCTAGCGACACTTAATATAGGCAGTTTGCATTCTGACTATTGAAGACTATTGAAATACCATTATTCTTATCGGGTGAATGAAATAATTTGTATTGAGGCACTTCACAAAGACTTATGTATCAAATTTGGTTACATTACGAATATGGCCTATTAAATAGACCCGTTCTCTATTCATTAAGCTATGTCAGAAAGCTATGTCAGAGAGCTGCGCAGTGGCCTGTAGTCATACCACTTTAATTTGAAGTCAGCAGTTTGCAAAATAAATGAAAATAACATTAAAAAAGTCACTATTATATCAGTAATAACAGTAACTGAAAGAAAGATTTTACGGGCAATCTTGACAACATCGGACTGCAAAAATAATAATAATAGTTGTGTATCCCGAAAGCATAAAATCATTAAATCAGCACATTTTTGTAAAATCATTAACATCAGAAAGTGTTGACAATTAGAATTGAACCAGGTAATCGCAGTGAGGCAGAGTGGTCTTGTGGATAAGACTGATCGCTTCACAAGGCAATGTACTCGATTCGATTACCAGCTATGCGTTTTTACCCCATGTTATTTGTGTAATATCTTTTCTTCACCCCATGGTATTGACTTGTCCATCTCTTTTCTTAAGGGGATACCCCCCCCCCCCCACCTCCTCAACAAAGGAGAAAAAATAACATGTGATACTCTTTCTTTAACAAGCCACTCTCTGAAAAAGTTAGAATACGTCTTTTGCTACGTCTACGACAATAAGTATCAATATGAAGGAAAAAAATCCCGGCCCCCCCCCCCCCCACTCCGAGAACGGACGGACCCCATGCGTGTTGCCAAAATGTCCTTTTCGTAACAAAAGAAAAAGGTCGACCCGTATGTACACCAGACTTTTGCTGAAAAGGGGGGGGGGGTGCTGAAAAAGGCTCGTATACAAAAGAAAAAGGTCGAGCCGTATTGACTTTACACACCGGACTTTTGCTGAAAAGGGGGGGGGGGGTCGGTTGGAACACGCATATGCGTACCCTAAATAACACTGAGTGGGGGGGGGGGGGGCCGGGAAAAAAATACATAGAGATTTAGCAGAGTGACACATTAGTCTCGAGTATAGGCGATCGCCTGGTAACTGGAAGGTATCGGGTTCGATACCCAGCTAGTGCCTTTTTTCGTTTACCTTTGAAAAAAAAAAGACTGATGTTTAATCCATCTTTATCTCCATCAAAGTACATATTTATTGTTATTTTTTTCAATTGATCGATACAATGAGCTTACGATGAACTTGTAAACTAAGTAAAGTATTATATGAAAAACACGAAGGACAGATCACATGATTTCTGAGAAAATATAAACTATAATAGTTATCACAGAACTTTTTTTTATTTTAAGTAACATATAAAAGGTTTATTCATTCTTTCTTTTATCCGGGGATATTATGCTTAAAAGGATTGGTTATTCATTGAATACTAATATCTAATTGGTTGCAATGTGATCTCATAGACAAGGTATGGTGCTGAACCACATAAAGAGACAATCTTGAAGATCATCCCTGATAATGTATTGATTACATTGTAGGGGTACAAATAATATACCAATTTCTAAACATTCTTCTTCTTCTTCCATTTCCTCATCTTCTTCCTTCTCTCTCATTTCTTTCTCCTTTTCCTTCTTCTTCTTTCTCTCTCCTTTCTTTCTCTCACCTCTCCCTCTCTCTTCTTTCTTCAATTCTCTCTCTTTCTCTCCCTCTCTCTCTCTCTCCATCCCTCCCTCTCTCTCACTCTCTTTCTCATTGTCTTACATGCTATGATAGCATTAACTTTCAGTTTGCAATAAACTCTCAAATACATATTCAGGGAAGTACATGAGGTTCAATGGAAAATATAATACCCACAAACCAAAAGTAAAAAAGCATACATAAAGTCTCAAATTTAGAACAATGCACACTTAAAATGATTTGTTTTGTTTGTTAATGAACCATAAACAAATGACCATACTTAAATAGAAGTAATATCATAAAACATAAAATAGCATTTAAAATCATATGCATACATTTTGTAAAAATAAGTTCATTCTTAATAAATGTGTTGTCTAATTGCCAACTTCACATTTAATTCTTAAATGGTACCCACTTTAAATTAAAATCAATCAATAAGTACAGTGTGATGCTATGATTGAGTTTGATAATTTTGTCTACTTAATATTGATTATATTTAATGTATGATTAAACTTTGCTAGCATGGTGAAACCTAGTGGCATAAAAAGCTGTTTCTGGGAGGGGGGTTTACAGGGAGTGGGATATAATGCCCTCTTTGGGTTTCATCTTCTGTTTCGCTTTTTGAAAGCCCAACAAGGGTAGCAAGGGTCTTGCAATATTTATATTTATTTACACTACTGGTACAGAGTGAAACACAAAATGGCTTTGCAGCATCTCGTCAGGAGATTTGAGAGGACAAAAAACAATTTTGAAAGTATGCATTGACATATTCATATATTTGTCAGTACTCTGGTCAGGAAGGTTTTGCCTTTGGCATTTTTAAAATTTCAAGTTGCCAACACTTGACTTTTCAAAACTGACAGTATTCTGCACAGACAGGGGCACAAAACTAGCAAACTAAATCACTTCAATATGCTCAAACTGATTCAATCAGTAAAACCTGTTATTGGTAATTTAGTCATTAGTAATTGGTGATTTAGTAACACCTTAAATTGAAGTTAAAATCCAGATATTTAGTTTATACATAGATACTTTAAACATAGTACATGTACGTTCATACTTCAGCTGAACTTAGTTCACATATATACAATAAAATTTGTAATCTCTTATCAAAGTATGTTGGCGAGTGTTCATAGTTAAAGAAATACTGAACTGATGAAGTTTCTGCCCTACCATACTTTTTTTTATTGCAAGCGCCATCTTATGGTCAACCTGCTAACAGTGCGTAACCCAATGCCTAATTCCCACTTCACAGAAAAAGGACTCGGTGCGAGAACCAGCTAGGGAAGCAGCGAGTTACAGGACCATACTGCTACAGCTGACCTGAGATGGCGCTAGAGGGGATTTTGCGGTAGTGCTTCTCGTACAGAATGGCTTTAAATAAGACCCATATGCAAATTTCAAATCAGATTATAAGGCTAAAGTACTTTGATTATATAATTAAAATATTCCTTTCCCATCTTCACATATCAAACCTAAAGCATTCCATGCAAATTAAATACAGACAATGATAAATTTCAATTTTCTAGGCAAGTAAATCGTGGTGAATAAAAAGAATAATTAATAAAAGATATATATAGTATGTTAACAACTGTTCCAGATGTATTTTTTTTCTTCAAGAGTCATACCTTGTATATTTGTTATTCCATTCTTCGTTGTCACATTATATTAAGTAAACACCAGAGTAAAGAAACACCGTATCAATTACATGATCTTTCAGGCAATATTTCTTAACAAAATTATTTCAGATCAAATACATTTTGAGTTTATCAACATAATATAGTTAAGACAATTAAAATATAGTTATACCTTGCCTTAAGTAATTATTTTCCCTCATAATTTGTCTCAAAAACGTCCATCTTACTCTTCTTTTTCCCTTCAAAATATATTAATTAATATACTCTATAAAATTATATATCAATTTCATTCAATTCATACTGCCGTACAAGGGTCTCGTTGAAAACTATGAAGTGATGCAACTAGGACTGCATACATGCCAACATTTGAAAATCAGAAATCTGTACAAATTATGCTATTTTCAAAAAAAAGAGGAACAATCCTAACTCTCCTATTCAATACTACAGACAAATTTGTACAGGAAGAGGAACACCTGCATTAAAATGATAATTATCTTCTCCCAAAAAGAGGAATGTTCCTCTTTAATCTGAACAGTTGGCATGTATGGGACTGTTTTCACTAGGAGTGCAGCCCCAAAGGGAAATAGTCATCTTCAAGTCACCAAGGGTTTAACCATACACTCAAATATAAACAGGTAGAACATACTTAGTACATAGCCATCGTTTTTAACTAAACCATAGAAGTACTGATGATCATCTGTTTTCAATTTTAAAGAAGTGATGAATTTGTGCTAATATCAAACGTATAATGATGACATCATCATCATCACACACTAGTGCACACAAAATAGATACGTACAAGATTTATTTGTGATGCACACACACACACACACACACACACACATATACATGTCTATAAAATAGGGTACTTGTTAGTAAGTAACATATTGCTGAAAAGGTGTCATGTGACATTCAAAGACTTCTAATAATGTGCACGGGCCGACATAAGTAACTACCTTAAATGGAAAACTGAATGAATGAAGAATATAAATATAAAGGAATAAAAAGTATTTACCCTTTCATTATTGCACAAAAGCAAATTAAGTCATTATTTTCCACACCCCTCCAAATTAGGGGTCAACAGGGGTCAAATTTGCTGAAGTTACAGTGACGACATAACATGAATATACCTTGATAAACCTTGAAGGCCACACCTCGCCATCGTGGTGATGAAGATCCCTTAGATAGTGTGGTGTGGCAGGGTTAAGGGGGTCCCATGTGACCCATTTAAAAACCTCATCGGTTCACCCATATAGCCGAGGCGATGAGCCGTGCTTAATTAATACAAAGTCATTGTGAATATAATACGTACTCCACATAAGATGATAGAAAGTGTTTAGGTTGACAACTTCCGATTTTCAAAGCTTTTGATTTTGAGTTTTCAGAGAGCTGATACTCCTCTGACAGACACTAAAATGGCACATAATTGATATTATTGTAATCTATGGCTTATAAGCCATTTCATTTTTCAGTTCAGATATGGTCTTTAACAACAAAATCATTCATACCCTCACCAATATTTTTGTAGTTTTTTAAAGTTTTTTTTTTAAGTATGTGAAATTGATTTCTCTCGATTTATGTTTCTTGAGAATATGACATATCAAAGCTTACATCTCAAATCATTCAACAAAGGCACTAATTCAACCCTTCCGAGTTAGGAAAAACACACAAGAAACATCAACTTTACAAGAAATATATAACTAATTCAGTTGTAACTGTATATATATATATATATATATATATATATATCATGCTTGAGTTGGTGTTGCTTTGAAGAGAGTGTCCATAATAGGGGGAGGGTTAGAGTCTCCGTTGTGAGGGATCGCTTCAAGATGTTTGACGAATGAGGCTGGAAGTCCAGATTGTTTGGCGCCCTCTATCAACACCTTCATATAATGTGGGGACGGAAGCATCTCCTCCACATTTTCACCAAGTTGATAAGTGCGACATATATGACTGCTGCCCTCTGGTGTTGTCACAGTAACATCTATGGCGCGGTATGAGCTTTCTTGACTGAAATATAATTGGAACATAAAGATAAGCTTGACTTCTGGTAATGATAGAAATAAATTCTCACAGAATCCAACAAAATTTACGCTCAAGGTTCAAGATTACAAATAAATGACATGTGCCAAACGATTTTGATAGAAAATGTATAAGGGCTGAGTAATGAGCATAGAAAGATAAGGGAATCAAGATAAGTAGGCCTGACACCATGTGCTTAACACAGGTCACTATGTGCAAATGAGAATTGTGGTTTTTATTGAAGATGATTTCCAGCAAAGGTTTTGTGAGTTTGTTTTTATTTTAGTGGTTCAAACAATCAATCTACTGCAGGATAAACAATCCAGAATGAATTACATATATAATTCATGCTTTATCCATTCCCATGGCTATAGATTGGCTTTAAATCGACAAGGAAAATCGTACATAGGCTTTTTTTTATACACATGTTCTGATGTGATGATAATAATGACCACCAGAATCAGAATGCATCGTAACAACGCTATCCTCTGTCATCCAATCAGAATGCAATATTACAATACCATATTTTCATCAACCGATCAGAAAACTCCACATGATATCTGCTATCGGCCAATCAGTACACACTTTCCAAATATCACCTTTCAGGAGGGGGGGGGGGGGGGAAGTATCACCAACTCAGTTGCAACCATTCTAAAGCAACCCTGGCCAACTAAAATGACAAAGTAAAACAAAAAAATCTTTGCAAGGGTTCCCAAATGAAGATTACCCACCTGTCTAGGTGTTCAAGGTCTGATCGATCTATCCTCCATAATGCGCCCCATGTGTGATGATCAGGAGCTGTATCAATGCTAGCAGGGGCGCCTTTCCAATACGGTAACCAATCTGGAAAGCCACGGAAACACAGTTTATACCCCTGCAGAAAAGAAAATGAAGGGCAGGGGAGGCATAAAAATCAGTACATCTCAAAACTCATTTGGAAATATTAAAGGGATCCGGTAACTTTGTCTCAGATTCTGAAACAAAATTCTGGATTTAGCTCATGATGCAATGATAATTATAAACCTTTAGGTCAGTCAGGAACCCCATGACTTTTACAAGCCGATCGCCTGTCTGATTATCAAGATATTTATGATTGGAATTACAAATTTTGAAAACCGTTCGCCTGACGGTTTTCATAACACTACAGTCTATTGGGGAAAACGAGTATGGTAAAACCGGTCACTCAAAGATTTTTACCTTCTTGATCATCTTGATCATTTTGAAGCGCAATTTTTTTTAGGGCTTCAATATTACACCATATCACAGACACTGATAGTACGTAGGGCCGTGTATCTCAGATTTAACATTGTTAAACGATCCCTTTAATGACCACTCCAACCTCTGGTTTCAGACAGATTGTAAATTCTGTATTTGATAATCTTTTCTTTTTTTTTTACTTCTATACACAGTGTACAGTTTTCATCAAATCTCATCCTTTTTACTTCTTATAAGTACAAATTGGAAAACAGGTGCATGTAGGTAAAACAAAAAATATATAACACAAGTCGTGGCTTATTATTATAAACCACATAGGTCCATTAAGCATGACACCTATAGCTGTGTATTTTTAATTTTTTATACATTTTTTCTTCCATTGACCGACTATTGCAACATAAACCGAAGAGAATCCCTTTGTTTTAAAATCCATGTACAGTATCATGTTTTTAATCAATGTACCTGTGTTACATTAATATGAAAAAGGTCATGTGAAGTACGTACCTCAAGTTTAGCTGGACCGACAAGCTGTGCAGTTGGATTGTGGACATGAAGTCTGGCTTTCAACATGTTGCTACCATAACCAAAGTAGAGGAATGTATCATCATCACTCCTGACAAGACAATAGGATAAGAGGAATGTATCATCGTTACTCCTGACAAGACATTAGGATAAGAGGAATGTATCATCGTTACTCCTGACAAGACATTAGGATAAGATCAAGAGAGAGAGAAAGAGTGAGAGGGTGAGAGAGAGAGAGAGAGAGAGAGGAGGGAGAGAGGGAGAGAGAGAGAGGAGGAGGGAGAGGAGAGAGAGAAGAGAGAGTTAAATCCTTTTTTGTTAAAAGCAGGATTAGGAATCTTCCATCTCCTCCTGGTTTATTAAAAAAGATATCTTAATTCAGAAATGTAGAAAAGATGAGAAGACAAAACACTCCTCTGTTAGATTGACAAACTTTAAATTACTACCACCACCACCACAGTTTTAAATGAAGGTTAATATCCCCTTTCCAACATACAACTTGGTGGTATGCAGAGGTCATCGTAAGCTTGATGTTTTGGAACCCCAGTCTCTACCCTAGCCCCCCCCCCCCCTCTCCCAACTTGAAACGAAGATCTGGATACACCATTGGATATTCTTAAGTTGAATTTAAACTTGTATTTTTATCTTGTACAGAACATACAAGAAGACATTACAGATGGTAGGTGTAAGCCGGTAATGTCATTGTTAAAGTTGATTTCTTACTTGGAATCGATCATATTCATAATCTCCACCTGGCCGCTGTATCCGTTATCCTCGATCGATCGAAGCCATGTGACGTAGTGCGGAGGTAGTGAGTTCTGTTCCGCCCCTTTCCTGATCACATTCAGGTATTGTGGCGAAGGGGTGTGTTCATGGAAATCCATCATGCTGTAGGTCCAGCATGAATGACAGGTGCCATCTTGGGATGCCACGCCTACTTTCATTCGTCTATAAATAACGCCCTCGCTCTCTTGTCTGTTGTCAGTCGAGAGGAGTATGATAGAGTGTGAAAGAGAGAGAAAGCTAAATAGGGATTTTCTTACTGAAATGGCAATATTCACATTATCTACTTTCCATAACGAAGATACAAACAATTGATGTCACACAAAATAAAAATTGTATTAAGTGAAGACAAAAATGTCCTCAAAAGAATATACTTACAAATTGATTGGGCACGATATAAATCTAAATAAGAACATACTGACAATCTCTATAACTTGTATTTCCTTAATAACGCTACCTTATGCCTGAATGAACTATAATGATATTTGCATGAATGAAATTGTGATTATGATTGTATGATTTGTACAGTCTAATAAACATAATGCGAAATGCTTTGTAACTGCACGGAAAGGGAGATGCACAAAATACATTTTGGATTGCGTTGCATTAATTGTGTTGCATTGAAAATTTGAAACAGCTACACATTGTTTTTTTGTTTTTTGTTGTTGTTTTTTTCGGGGGGGGGGTAATATTCTTTGATTGATGAATGATGAAATATTTAAAATAAAGTGTATGACATTCATCAATTCATCAACGGTTGCAACTTACAGATCCAAACTTGGTAGATCCTTCTCATCTAGTCTCCACACTATGCCCCAGACGGAGCTACCATTCCTCTCTTCCACGGTAGCGACGCCTCCGTGCCATCTCTCACTCATCCACTTGCTTTGCCCTCCAAAACATAATTTAAAATTCTGAAAGAAAAAAATAAACAATACAAGAATCAAATTAATGTTAATGCTTGAAAGTTTACATTACATAATTATTTGCTCAAGGTCGAGGGAGATTAATCCACTTTTGCCACTCTCCATGCTGGAGTTTTGATGGTAGAATGTGACAGTCATTAGGCCTAAAAAAATGATGTTGTATTGCCCTTTGCAACCGACCCAAAAATCTTGAAATCTATGGTCGGCTTTTAATTTTTAATTTTTTTTTTTACCGTTTTTTTAGAGAGAAAAAATGTATCAAAGCATTCAAAACTGAAAAATATCAGCCCAAAAACGGAGTAAAAACTTTTGTTTTGGCACCTGAAGGGCAAAACAACATCTTTTTTTTTGTAGGCCTTAGACTTGTTCAGAAGTGGCTCCCTAGTCGGTGTAAGTTTTTCCCTGCAGCAATAAATATTCCATAAATATTGGACTTACACTATAAGTTGTTCATACGCTCTTACTCGGACCAACTTGCCATGATAAAGTTATCATGACCTTCCACCGACCCGGTCTTACACAGTGTAACTTTCACAGGTGGTGACGCCTGCACTAGTCGACCTCCACCCGGCTTCCGCATCTAAAAGGTGCTATATTTAATTTTCATATTTGATTGTAAACAAACATCGCTATAAAACTGAAAATCAATCTAAACGAATTAAAAAAAACTTGCGTGTGGTAATCACTGTAGGTTTGACCCCAGAAATTTTAAATGTTTGGTCATACAACCCTTGTGAAAGGTCACAGATACTTAGAGTACCAAGTGAGAGCATTCACACGGTCAACTTATGCTACCCTCTAATTGTGTTGGCACATTACTCCTGGAAAAATCTAGGAGTAAATCAGTCGCCATAAAGGTTGGCGTACCTATAAACACGACTACCGTTCAGACGGTCATTGCACCAACCATTACCAATTCAATTCAATTCAGAACTTTATTTCAGACTCAGCTGCACAAGGCAGAGGTCCATAAAACATATGTTACATATAGATAGGGAAAAGAGCTGAGTATGAACATGATGAGTATAATAACAACAAATCGTACAAATACTAAAGAGTATAACAAACTAAACTATACTACGTATATAAAATGTAACTGTAACATGTAACCTGTATCTGTAAAATTGATAACAGAAGGCCTATAGCAATCTAACTCTAAGCTGTACCTGTAACTGCAAGATTAAAATAAATATAAACCGGTACATAACAAAATGAAGTTGTAACTTAATTGTAACAATCTCTGCTCAACTAACTAAAACAATATACTAATAATAGATAACTAGATATTATAATCAAGCAAAAAAGGACTAAGGACTATACTGCAACCATAAGAGACTGGATAGTCCTTGGTAACATCATGCAAAATATGATCAATTCCGATGTGTCAGCAGGCTATTATGCCAAAATTTTCAGAGGCTCGATGTGTACCTAAGGCAACTATACGTGGGGTTCACTAATACCTTTACAATACCATTCTCAGAGACATCCACTCTCTGGATGAACTTATACATGAGATTTCGTAATACAGCCGAACAGACTGGAACATTCAACTCAGCAAACATTTGACTAGCACTAAAGTATCTTTGTACCCTAAGAAGCATTCTCATGGCATCATTATAGGCCACAGTAAGCCTGTACAAACTGCTCTTCTTAAAATTACACCACAGATGCGCAGTGTACAAAGGTGTACAGTATGCCCTAAATAATGCCACCTTCACATCCGGAGAACACATATGAAATTTCCTAACGAGCATATTACCTTGAGCATATAATTTACGACCCTGTCGACTAATATCTTCATCATCACAAAGGTCCTCAGTAAAGAAATGACCAAGATACATGACCTCTGTACATTGAGTTTAGCTCCAATCACGACCTCTAGCTGACCAAGATTGCGTGAACTTGGCTATTGTAGTTTGCCGAGCATTGTGAGCAGCTGTGCAATGGCCCCTGGCTATAATGCTCCCCAGGGGTAGGGAATGTTTATTGTGTGGGGGGGGGGGGGGGGGGGGGCAAGGATGATGACTGGGGTAATATCTGTAAAATGCTTAGAGACATTGTTGATGTATTAGGCACTACATGTACATTCAAAAGGCCTGTACTCATCAGACCAAAGTTGCAAAATAACTAGTGATGTAACATCAGGGATATCTCCAATTCCATTTTAACGCCAGTCAAAACCGGACGGTTTCAATTTTAAAATTATTTTTAAAAAATTTAATTTTTTTTTTTTTTTTTTAAATTTGTGTTTTAGTTGGAAAATCCAAATAAATTACATTATTAACAAATAATGTACATAATAATAAACAAAAACAAAAACAGAAACTTACATGTAACTGTCGGGCATGCTTTGGAACAATGACTGGGTTTCACTTTGTTTATGAAGCTAATGAATCTAATATGCACGTGTATTCATGTTTATAGCTCACGATCCTGATATTGCAGAGGTCAAGATTTGGGATTTAAATGGCATCAGTGAAGTATTGTGGATGTACTTCAAGGCTGGGAACTTAGTTTTACGAGTCAACTTCTCAGTCTGGTGAAGACCAAATTTCAAGCCTCTGGGAAAATATCCAGAGTCAGAAAATAGCAGGTTATTTTGCAACTTCGGTTTGATGAAGCCAAGCCTCATTAGTATTGTGTCTGTTTAGAAACTTGATAAGGTCATCACATACAACATGCTGCAGATATCCTGTGTCATTGAACTGACAGATAGTACTATTATACTCTTTTCACACTGGTTTTGCTTAACCCCGTATTTTGCTTAGCCCGTACTATCCTTAACCCCAGACTATTTTTTTGGCTTTTCACACACGCTGTTTTTAGTCCCGTACTAGCGCCTATTCCGGAATAAGTAAATTCCCGCTGTTCTCACTGCATTTCGTTAACCCCGGATATCGTGTATTTTATGATTGGACATACTTCGCATCTGGCCAGCTGCGATACGCTCCATTGCGTAGTACCGGACTATTTTTCGTTTCTGTTCTCATTCATTTGCTTAGCACCGCAATTGCGGGGTTAGCAGGAGTTAGCACCACAATTGCGGAGTTAGCCCTGCTATTTTGCAGGGTTAGTTAACCCCGTATTATAGGTGGGGTTAGCCAACTTTAGCCCACTTTGGTAAAAACCAGTCTGAACCGAAAGTGGAATAGGCTTAACCCCGTACTATAGGTGGGGCTAAGACCCCCCCTTAACCCTACCTATAGTACGGGGTTAAGCAAAATATTGCCAGTGTGAAAACACTATTAGTGCATGTATGATATGAACAGAAAGACAGGACCTGTTTCCAGCTCTACCACTTAAAGAATCATTCAAAATCAATTACCGGTAACGAATATCTATAGCGACAATGCATAATTTGTGTAATATAGAGACATACAGTAAATATGAAAACTTAATTATGAAATGCAATGATAGTTTTGAAAAAAGGGTAATTAACATAATGATGTTTAGCTGCAAGTAATGGTGCAATAATATTTCTATTATATGGATCTCTAAAGTCTAAAGCCCTATTTCATTTGTATCATTTTGGCTACATACACACACACCCTCCCCCCCCCCCCAAAAAAAAATAATAATAATAATAAAGATTTACTTGAATGCAAAAGCACTAAGGGGTCATTCCATATCAAATCCCCCGATGGGTTTAACCAACAATTTTTCATTTTGATGAGTGTGATCTCACAGCACCAAATCTCAAATGAGGGGTGAGGGGTTTGGGAGATACAGCCCAACAAATTTTGAGATTTTCAGCAAAAAATGGGGGTGGCCGTCTACCTTTTGAACCCTTGTAGCTTAGGAACTAATGGGTCAATCTTCACAAAAATGGTATTGTTTGGAAGGGAATTCAACGCGGATTCAAAATCTGCCATCATTTTGAAGATTAGTACATGACCTTTTGACCTTGAAATTGACGGAGGACTGAGTAAAGATCACATGAAGAATGCAAGCCACAGCTATGTATTTCAACTCACTGCTTGATCTACAATCTACAAGAGTTAACTACGTTATCAGACTCCCTGGGGTATCAGCCTTACCTGACCTAGCTTGGGCTGACCCTACAAGGTCATGAACTGAAAGGCAGTGGAGGACCCCAACTCGTAAACAGGATGAAACTTGTGAGTCTCGATCATGGATCATGGATCATGGGCCTACTACAACAAAATACTATGAAATAATTTATCAGAAATTCCAATAAAGGAGAACGATCAAACTGATGAAACTTTTTCATACATTCACATTTCACAACTTAAAAAAAGGGAAAAAAGGAAAATAAATCCAGTAGGCTATTCTAGATAATTACAAGACAAGATTCCTCCTTGTCCCATCCCCCATACTTTCTATAATGGTCTTATTAAATTATGGTGCAAAAAATCCACGAAAGAACAACAAGTTAAATTGATAAAATTTCCTGATACTTTCACAAAAACAAAAACAATTGAAAACAAGAAATTCAATTCGTCATGAAGACGAATTAGGTGGTCTGCTATTAAATCTAGTAAACGCTGATCTTGTTAGGAATATCGAAATTTGGAAGAAAATCTATCATTATTTACAGAATTACAATCCATTTTCCATAAATATGGTGACGTCATAATATGCAAATTCTTATTTGAGTTCCAAGGCTCTTATAATGATGTTACAAAATACTTAGAGGACAAATGAGACATGAAATCATATCTACAATTCATAATCTATTCAAATATGAAAAGAAAGTTGGTGGTCAAAGGGCATCCTAAAGAGCTATAATGGATTTTGTATGTTTTTGCCCATATTTGCTATGCATTACAAGAGCTCGCATGCACGGACATTTATCTTGAATGGATGCTCATTCCGTTATTAATGGTCATTAAGAGATAAACTTAGTATCAAATTGTTTTTAAAAAATGGGGAATAACATGACAGAAAACAAATGGCGTTTGTATATTGCGTACGGCCATGATGAACAAAAACGTGCGCACATGTGCGATTTTTTTTATAAAATGCTCAAAATAGCCTGAAACGTATGCAAAATTATTTTAAGACGAATTAAAGCATTTTAAATTTTGCGCGCATATATGCGCGCGTTCATTGACCTGAAATTGACCGGGCGGATATTGACCTTTATCATGATAAATAAGATTGGCAATTTATTTTTTGTTAAGAAGATATGATCATGAGTTCATTATCTGAAAACTTTACAAAATGGCGCCTGGATGAGGTCACGATAATTTGTTAAACTTGAAAATGTTTCTGTCATGTCTTATGATGATGACCTATAACTGTGTCAAAATTGAAAGAAATTGGGTGGATGGATTTTGAGAAATCGTCTGCACAAAAAAGTGCGGAGAAATAAATAAAAATAAATAAAGAATAATAATAAGAAAGAAAATTCTGACGAAATCAATAGCTGGTCTGTTGACAACAGACCACCTAATAAAATTATATTCAGTAATCACGCCAAATAAAATCAAGATTCTCCCATCTCTGATTTACTATTTACATGTAGGCAACATTTGTTGCATTTTCAAAATACCAGTAATTCAAACTTTCAAAGCTTATCAAACTTTGTTATTTCACAGGTACAGTTTGCGATTCAAATACATTCTACAATGTAAAGGGGAATTCACTTGAAGTCATTCACTCGGCCAACAAATTTCAACATTGTTTTCTTCTCATTAACTCAGGGGAGAGGGCTTCGCAAGTCATGAATGAACTGACCTATATTCCTTCCTCTGTTTATGTATGGTTACTAGGCAACACGTACTGCGGTCAATCAAAATGTTCAATTCCTTTGTGGCTGTCTTCACATCTGCACAGTAAAGGCTCACCAGTCACCATGATTCAGATTAGCCTTATTCAGATATTCAACAATCTTTTTCGAAATAAAATAGTGAATTCTACTCAAACTCATTAATTCTCATTTTTAAAGAACAATTTCCAGCAAATTATAAATAATAACTGGCGGGAATATAATACAGGGATGAAAATAGATCAAATTACGCCTGATTTTTTTTCATTGGGTCGCGCCACACATATTTAAATTTCTTGGTGAGAGGCCTGCCGCTCGCTATTCATAAAGAAGGCTATTTATAAGAACCGCTATTCATAATATAAGGACCACTATTCATAATTTGAGAAAATGGTCATTATTCGCAATGACCACTATTCAAATTGAAGAGGTCCGCTATTCATAATACAAAATCAGGGTCGTTTAAATCATAGGGGTCTCTATTCATAATAGGAGAAGATTATGATGAATAGCGACCCTCATTTCGTATTATAAATAGCGGCCCTTATGAGTAGTGAACCCCAATATTAATTATGAAGAGTGCCCCTTCTTCATGTTTATGAATAGTGGTTCTTATGAGTAATGACCCTTAATGTGAATTATGAATAGCGACCCTTATCTCACATTATGATTAGCGATCCTCATCTCACATCATGAATAGCGGTCCTTATGCCTTTATGAATAGTTACCCCCTTTCTGTTTCATGAACAACGGCCCTTCACATATATAGGAAGTTACACGTTATAAATAGTGGTCCTTATGACTAGCGCGTTATAGCGAGGCCTCGCAGGGTTACCCCTAACAAACACCCCCTCGACCCTCCTTGGATCTGAATGAATGAATGAGAGGAATTTCTTTCTTTCTTTGGACTTGGTATCCATCATCAGATCATAAAAGCAAAAGGGAGACATCGACTGTTCACAACATGTATGTTTTCAAAAGGATTTTATGTCTTCAGCTGCTTCTTGGTGACTTGGTCGTTATAACTAAGCTAGCATGCAGTAGCAGATGCTGTGGGCTCTCAGAAAGTTCAAGCCTTCAAGTTCGACCACCAGCACTACCTGCAACTATATTTCATTGACAGTTACGGTACCTGAGCTGACAACCCGCCCAAGCTCCGGGGGAATCTTCGGTCAAAATCTGCTGTCATTACTTACCTTTAATTCTGCGACGTCAACGAAAACGGCGGATGGGTTTTTTAAGTGAATCCTCTCCTTCAGTAGATTACTGCCAAATCCATAATACAAGAAGGTGCCATCAGAATCACCTGGAGTTTCTTCCATGATGTGTTTTGGCAAGTTTACGCTTCAAGAATACTAGGACGGGCCGGGAGGCCGACTGTCGACGTTTTAATCTACGTCTACATTTGTTAATGTGTACATTATTTTGCACGTGCCTCTAGATGGCGCTCGACCTCTCCTTCAGAGGGCTGATCTGATTGAAGCTCTTTCTACAAATCCTTGCGAAGACTAATCATAATAATTGGATGTTGAGATTTGGATCTTGGATTGTTGACCTAAATATTCTGCAAGGAAATTTACCCTGGAGGTGTAGTTACGGGTTTTCATTCTTTTTTTAAAGACGTAGACTGAGGGTTCTGTGTTGAGATATCTCAGATTACTTTACACAGAGTCTCAGAAGATAAGATCCCATTCCCACTTTGTAAAGAATCGTTGAATGGACAAAGAATGATAGATACTGAGTTATAACTCAGTATGTCCATTCCACGATTCTTTACAAATAAGTGGGATCTTTTCTTCTGAGTAAGGTAATCTGAGATATTTCAGATATTTCAACACAAAACCCTCAGTCTTTGTCTTGAACAACAAAAAAGGAGAATGATTTATCACATACCGACAGGGATATCGATGTGTATTGAAGTCAAAATATTATACCCCCCCCCCCTTCTTGATTATTATTGTGTATACCAACTAGGAACCATCAGTATAACCCGGGGAGGGGTTTGGGTTGAGGGCACCCCATAATGCTAAGGGGTTGTTTTGTCGCTGTATACATTTGTGGTTAATATGCTGGACCGATAAACTATTTAAGCAACTCCGTCGTCATCAAAATAGGCTTGTCTTGTATAGGCGTTCTGGCCAATTTAAATTCAGATGGAATCATAACAACATTTGACATTATTGTTGAATAATTAGGTAGTGGCATTGTTTGTTTTCTCCTTCTTAAAGTTCTTCTCTCTTCTCTCTTCTTTTTCTTTCTCCTACTTCTTCTTCTTCGTCATCAGAAGTAGAGGTGTCATATAGTCGAGTGGTTTAATTATTTGATGGGAAATTCAAAGGTCGTGGGTTCGATCAACGGCACGGCACTTATGTCCTTGAGCAAGGCATATCATCTACATTGGTCCTCTCTATTTGGTACCCGGTATAGGAAGCAAACGTCATTGTGCATGGTTGGATAAGCATGTGCGCGCCCCCTAAAAAAAAAAAGCAACTAGCTGAAATGCTCCCCATGGAGTGGAGAATGTGCAATATGAAGTGCAGAATATTGAATTGAATATATAGTGACCGGGGTGATAATAACACTGCAGGCGCTTTATAATGTATTAGCAAATCAACTTGAAAATGAGTAGAAAACGAAATTAATGTTGACATTCATTTTTTTTAATGAAGAAAATAGAATAATGAAAAGCCACGGTCAGCAATATAGGCAAAAAAGGCAACGCAAAATTACGGACCACGCCCCTGCAAGCATCTCGACCGCGTCCACCTATTTTTTCTCTTCTTTTCTTTCTTTCCGTCCTTTATTTCTTCTTTTTCTTCCTCCTCCTCTTTCTTCTTCTCCTTCGTTTTATTTTGTTCTCCAGGATTTCTCATGGGTAGGCGCGTAATTTGAAAAAACAGACCTTGGAAAAATAAAAAAATAAAATGTACACGAAGTTCTTTTTTAGCTGGGGTTCAGCCCTGTAAACTCGATTTGCGGGGGGGGGGGCACCAATAAAACAGGCCACTTTCTTGAGAAAAATGGGCCCCTATATAAAGGAAAATCTCAAAGCGAAAGTGTACAATTTTGTAAGCATTTGTATGTACATTGTATCACCAGTGATGATTTCAACATTTGTTTCACTTTATACATCGTACAAGATATTGCTTAAGCATTATACTCTGCAGTTGGGTGTGATGGTCTGAATATTCATTTGCGAGCGAGGAACAATTTCAAGATTTGTGAGGTCACAGTGCGAAAATTTACATATTATTTATAAAGAGGGGAAAACAATCCTGATGGGGTTATAAGCACATTCTTATAACAGAAGACTCGAAAGTCCTTAGATATTGTTTTTAATATAAAAACTTTGTCATCACATATGATATAGTATGTATGTTTTGTTCTTCTCTTGCTTCATTGCCCCCCCCCCCCTCTTTTCCAGACTGGCCCTTACCTTACAAACATTTCTTCATTTATTAGCAAACTCATTTTGTTCTGTTTTGCTCTATTGTACTTTTTCTCTTTTTTTTTCTCTCTCTCTCTCTCTCTCTCTCTCTCTCTTTCTCTTCTATGTCTTCCCCGTTACCATTTCTCCTACATATAACTATCTTCTCAACTTTTCTCTGTTGTTGTTTTGTTCTGTTTTGCGCTTTCGCTCTCCATCCTAATGTATATATCTTCCCATTTTCTCCTTTTTCAATATATACATCAATCTATTTCTTTTGTAAATATTTCCCATGTGTAATTGTTTCTAGTCTGTTAAGGTACTTTAGTTGTTCAGTATTAATTTTTTTCTTCAAAGTAATTAAATCATTCAGGAATTATATTCTGTTTGGGGACCTTGCTCTAACAAGCCCAGCTTCTATATAAGGTCTCCTCTTTCTTTCATGTACAGAACATGATCTTACATAAGTAACTTTTTTATAGAGTTTCTTTAGTTAATAACAAGACTTGTATGTTGAACATTACTATTGCACTTCAAATTATGTTTGTTATATTGATAATCTGCTGTTCCAGTTACTTTATTTGAAATTCTAAGTACAAATGTTTGTGAAAGAAAAAATAAAATGAACTTTGAAATATGAACTAGGTTCTCAAAATGATATCATCTATAAATGCGAGCAAGGCACAAGACACTTAGTAAAAAAGAAAAGAAAAGGAGCACAAGTCAAAGTACAAAGGGTAATTATCAGAGGTGGAAAAAGAGGCACTCACTCGAGGTGGAAAAGGGATATGTAAGAATGGGAAATGTGCATTTTTTGAAAAAAAAGGGGCACCCATCAGATTTTGAGAGGGGCATTTATGAGAGATGAAAGGGGGCTTTTATGAGAAGCGGGAAGTAGTTCTTGTTAAAAAGAGAAAGACTCTTAGGCACATGTTAAAATAAGCGGGGCAATAATCAGAGATGAAAAGGCATAATAATGAGTAGGGGCAGGGGCACTTATACTTATAAGAAGTAAAACGAGTTATTGGAGGTGAAAAGGGGCACTCATCAGAGATGAAAAGAACGCTTATCAGGAGAGGAAGGGGCACTTTTCAAAGTAAAACGAGCATCTCTCATATTTAAATAGGGGCAATTATCGGAGGCGAAGGGGGCACTTATCCAAAAGAGAAGGAGTAACTTCTTGACCTGAAAAGGGTCATTTCATAAAAATGAAAAGGGGCACTTATGAGAATGAAAGGGAACACGTTTCATAGATCAAAAGGGGCATTGATAAGAAGGGGAATGAGCTCTTTTTAAATGGGGGCACTATCATAAGGAAAAGGGCACTTATTTGAAAGTAAAAGGGCCACGTGTGAAAAAAGGTGCACTTATGAGGTTAAAAAAGGGCTAGTTATTAAAAGGGGAAAGGCACTTCTTACAAAGTAAAAGGAGCATCTCTCAGATTTGAATAGGGCAATTATCGGAAGTGAAGGGGCACTTATAATAAGTGAAATGTGGTACTTCTCGTAACTTGAAAAGGGGCACTAACTAGAGATTAAAAATGGCACTTTCAGAATGAAAAAGGGACACTTATTGCAAAGAAAAATGGAAACTTGTTGAAGTAAAGGGGGCACTTATCTGAGGTGAAAATGGGATGGGGCACTTTTACAAAGTTATAGGGGCACTTTATCTATATAAAAAGTGGCACTGTATAGGTACTTGAAAAGGTTGCATGGGGGGGGGGGGCACTGTGCCCTTCAGAGCGCCGCTTCTGTGTATGATGTATGGAATATGTATTAAAATGAATTTGATGAAATACAATGATATTTCGTAATGCAACCTTGTTGTCCCTCTCACTTCCTTCTTTCTTCTCCGACACGAGCAGGTATCCGGGGAGGAACGGTAAAGAGAGGGCCGTAAGAGTGCACTCCCAGACAAATCTCTGACAAGCAAATCAAAATCTCGTTTTTCAAATACATTCTCTTTCAAGGAAAAAAGTCATCAGCCAAAGGATACATCTTAATTTTCTTCTTCTTTTCCCCCGTCTCCCTTTTTGGTCCTTTTTTTTCTTTCCTTCTATTTTCCCTTCTTCCTTTTCTGCCTCCTTTCCCTTCAGACTCTTCTATACTTCCTTCGTTTCCCCAGTTTTTGGGGGCGAGGGTAGAGGCCCTTATGCCCCTGTGTCCCCTTCTAGGATCCGCCACTGATTTTGAAATCTTTGTCTGACCTGTTGCTTATGGATAAAACAAAGCAGGGGGGTGTCAAAGTTGGAGCTAACTGAGCTGTTTTTCTGATTATATTGCTGGTTTCGTATTGAAGGTTTGAAGCAGACTCATGATTTGCCTCTCGAATTTATGCTAGAAAGAGTTTCACTTCAATATGATATCACATTACATATTACGTTATAAAAGATATATCTCATAAAAAGTGGGAAACTATTTCCTCTTCCTCTTTTAAATTAATACAAAAAGTCAGCACTCACGAAACCGAAACACAAGGGATAGCGCAGTGCGAAGAGAGCTCAATAGAAAGCCAGTGGACCGGATGGGCAGGGGCTTGGTAACTTAATGAGTGTGCCTAGTTCCGGGTGAACGTGAACCTGTTGGGAATACCGTGAGCACGGTCTAAACTTTATCAGCTAGCTCATATCCACGGATCATATCCATAGAGAAAGTCGTGGCAGAAGTGTCCACATCTTTCCTTTTCTCTAGACTGTCTTTCATTTTAATACAGAGATGACTTTTGGGGGCTTGTTGCAAAGAGGGAAAGTGGTCGCCCTGCTTCTCTCCGTCGCACTGTTGCCAGCGGTCTGGGCCGTTGGACCTGGCGGAGACATCATTGAGGATGGGTGTGAGGAGTTCGTGGCCCATTATGAAAAAGAGTACAATGGAACAGAGGAGGAGATAGAATCGTATGAAATCCTATCAGTGAATTTCTTGGAGGTAGCTTCCCCTTT